GCATAAAATGTGTGACTGGGACCTTGGACTCAGCGAGCAATCGAAAGGGATAGCCAAAGGGTAGCAGGGCTCCCTCAGAGAGTATTCCTTTCAGGGCACAAGAGTGGTGCTCCCCCGGTAGTAAGAGCAGCCAAGAAAGGTGTCCATCTCCCCTTGCCACTGAGGAACCAACCAGGGATTCAGCAGCACATCCTGCTGAGACTACAGGCTAGGTAAATCCTAACCCAGAATGCAGAATCTCAGGAACTGAATGGTTGCAATGGTGGTGTTAAGGGAGACTCAGTGAGATGGGCCATGGCCAGGGGCTGGTCCAGGGGCTTAGAATGGCCAAGCATCCTCTAAGAAATGATGATCTGTTACCAGAGAGTGAGGCCTTGCTACAGGAGGCCAGGGAGGTTTTTAGGGACTTGGTGACACACACCAGAACGGAACTTAACGACTTCAGCAGCAAGCGGTTCCTTGGAGAAGTCTCCGGGGAATCTGATGACCCCTCCCTTCCTCAGGAAGACCACTGTCCAACTGGGTGCCCTGATGCTGCATGAACTCATAATGAATATTGCCTCACTGCCTTATCTATGCAAGCCTGCTTCCAGGGGCTTGGGACTTGGCAATGGGCAAATCAGGCTCTGCCCCTGTCCTGTGGAGGGGAAGTAGACACTTAAACGATAGACAGACTAAACATTTACCTGTAGGTGCTGGTGAGACCTCTACAGCGGGCACAAAGAGAAATCCAGGTGAGTCCTGGAGGGAAGGGTGGGACAAGGGGTTGCAAGACTGAGTGAAGCAGAAAAAGGAGGCCTCTCTGAGCATGTACCCGCCTAAGCAGAGGCCTGAGTGAGGAGGAAGCCAAGGAGACGTCTAAGGGAAAAATATTTCTAGAATCAGGAACAGCCAGTGCCAAAGACCTGAGACAGAAGAGCTGGAGGGAGGAGACCACCAGAGGGCCATCAGCAAAGCACCCAGTGGGGCCTAAAGATCCATGGAGCCCCTCAAGGGATTTGATCCATGGCAGTTAATGATAGGGCCCTTACCTTCAAAGCATTGTTCTGATTGCTCCATTGCGAACAGACTGTAAGGGACCATGGGATGGCAGCTGTGGAGGTGACAGGGGGTCAGGGGGTCAGATTCCCAATGTTCAGTCTTTCCATCTGTCTCTTGCACCAGTGTCTGCCGTCACACCTGCCTCGTCCCCCACGGAAACCCAGCACCAAGTGTCCTCTAATGTCCTTGGGGGCAGCTGATATTTATTCATTCATTTTACTTTATAAATATTTATTGAGCCAGGCATAAATACAAATAATGTCGTGACCGGGCCGTCGGCCATCATCTGAGATTCAGCATTTCTAAGCCACCAGAGGCCAGTTTTGATGTCTCAGAAAGCCACATAGAGTTCCTGTAAGAATCTCATCCAGGATTTCACCAGAGAAGCCTGGTCTGGCACCCCAGGCCAGTCCCATCATTCCATCTGTCTCTCAGGGACATGAAACAAATGATAACTCAGAACATCCCTTCTCTAAAACCCTCCTTCCTGCCTTTGCTGCCTCTCTTAGAATTTTTGTTTGTTTGTTTGTTTGTTTGTTTGTTTGTTTGTTTGTAGACAGGGTCTCATTAGCCCCAGCTGGCCTAGAACTTTCTGCATAGCTCAGGCTGGCCTCCGACTCACAGAAGCCATACTCCTGTAAAGCCAGCTTTCTCCTTTTCATTTGCTCTAGGACCCGTGCTTTAAGAGACGGTGCTTCCCACTTTGAGGGCGGGTCTTCCCTCACCTAAAATTAACTTAATCAAGAGAATCCCTCAAATTGACCACCACACCCTGACATACTGAGCCTCCAGCCCACACTAGATTCCATCTTCAGACCCGGCCACGCTCTCACGCATGGACCTGGAGATATGTGGGCGGGTTTGTCCCCCACCCTCAGTATTTCCTAAAGCCTGTTGCCCACCGGAGGCCCAGGGTTGGGGGGACCTAGAAGAAAGGGCTTCCAACAGAACTGATCTCCAGTGATCCCAGGCTCCTTCCGAAAGAACATCAGACCCACGGCATCTGTCATGGCAGCATGTCCTTCCAATGCCACCGAACTCACCTCTAGGACCAAAACCTCCAGGCCTTCGTGTCCTGTCAACAAATGATCAACACCTTATCAGTCCTGAAACAAATTAATGAGACAGTATAGGTGCTTGGCACATTGTTACCACTTAATAAATTCTCACTGTCATTTGCTGGGTCTTCTTGACTTCCCTGTTTCCTCTGTTACAAGCTTTTAAACTCCAGAGATAGAGCTGCATCTTATCTTCTATCCTCAGAGGCTAGTAGAGGAGCTTGGAGCACAGTAGGTCCTGGAAAACGTGCATAAAGAAGGGCCCTGTACAGCTTAAAGTCTACCTCTCCTGGGAGGTTCTTTTAAAAATATATATTTAATTAAATAATTAAATGTAAGATTTAAATATTATAAATATATTATTATAAATATTATTTTAAAGCTTTTGTACACTTACATATACTGTAACACGTATGTACATATAGATACGCAGGTGCTGTATCACACACTTCTGCCCCTCCTTCTTCTCATCTCTCTTCCTCCCACTGGTCCCCTTTGTCTTCCACTGATAATTTTACTTCCATTTTCACGATACACGAGTGAGTATACACACATACCATTGTACATATGTACATAAAATCTGGACCCCACAAGTGGAAGAGAATACAGTATCTGTCTTTCTGTGACTGGCTTAATTTCTTTAATGTTTGTAGCCTCAGCTGCATCCATTTTCCTTCAAATGATGTGACCTCATTTCTCTTGATGATTTTAAAATGTCCCATTGTGCTACATGCCAGCTTTTCTGGATGGTTCCCACTGTGACAGGTGGGATGGATTCTCAGAGTCTCATCATTTTTTAAGTTGCATTCTTCTGGTGAAGCTGAACATATATATATAAATTTGGTCATTTGAACTTCACCTTTTGAGAACTGGCCATTTCCTTAAGCCACTTATACACTGGGTCTTTTTATTTCTTGCTGTTTAGAGTTCTTCGTGTAGTCTAACCCCCTCTATCGTGTGGATGGATTCTTCTCCCATGCTGTTGGCCATCCCATCACACAACTGTTTCCTTTGCTGTACAGAAGCTTTTTAATATTGTGGGTGTCAGCTGTCAGTTGTTGGCCTTCTGTGAGCCAGCGTCAAGTGGATCTTTTTAGAGTCAGTCTGGCCCTTGTTAGCAGAATCTCCCATCCACATCCACTCTCTGGGTGTGAGACGTGGTCTGGGAGGAGTGGAATGAACAAGATGCTCTTGTCATACTCTACCTCAGGATGTTCCAAAACTTAAGTCCAAGTTCACCGTACACTGGTGCTGCCTGCTTCCCCACCCCCTCCCCACCCTCCTTCCACCCCACTCAGGAAATGAAGTCCGTCATCTTTGTTTGCCTTCCACAAGAGGCCAGCCTCTCTTCAGTTATCAGTCAGCCTGTCAGGAGATAAGCTCAGCCAGAGCTGTCTGGGCTCCAGCCACAAGGGAGAACATAATTAAAAAGATGATGCTGGCCTGGTGCAGGGGAGGGGCCAGGAGGAGCACCTGACGTCCCACTGGGGACACGGACAGGACCGAGATGGAAAGTACAACCTTCCCTGAGAAAGGGCAGAGTAATCAGCTCTCACCAAATAGCCTTGCAAACAGATGGCAAAAGGTCACCAGCCGTGGACAGCTTTGCCTGGCTCGGACATAAAGAGGAAAACCCAGAGAGACCCCCCCCCCACCTCCAGCATGTACTCCACTCTCTCTGCCTTCCACCTGGCTACGTGGAGGTCCTCGGAGAGCCGTCAGATCTCCTCCATTCACTGTCCTGGAGACTGAGCACTCCGAAAACCCTGTATGTTGGAAGGATGAGGCGATCTGTTATTCTTTCCACTCAGTTGGCACTGAGAAGCCCATGGAAAACAAATTAGGTCCTACCCACATCCAAGCACAGAGAACAGTCAAAAAAAAAAAAAAACACAAACAAAACATCACACGGGAGAGAGGCTGGGCTGTGGGAGAGGAAGGAAGCATCCTGGGCACGGATAATCTGGCCTCTATGGTTCTGAAGGAAGAGAAGAAAGTTCTCAGATAAAAGGCGGGAGTGGGGCCAGACTTCCAAGCAGGGTGGCAAATGCAAAGGTGAGGAGGAGAGGCTGCAGAGACTGACCAAGCATCTTTGACGGGACAGTTGAAGGGTGGGGCTTAGGCAAGACGTGGACCTTGGGGTTTAGCTTGCATTTGAAGGACATTGGTAGTTGTTCCCTAGGGTGGTAGGACGTGCTCACTGTGTGTGCCAGAATGGGCCTGCTGACCATTGGCATCATCTGGGAAGAGTTTATTTGACTCCAGTAAGACCTAAGGTCCAGGTGAAACACATACCTTGGGACCTGGGTGCTGGGGAGAGAGCAGGAAGGCCATGGACAGAGTCAAGGGCTTTCCCTGAGACAAGTCCCAGCCCTGGCCTTGGCTTGGGAATGGCAAGAAAGACACACCTGGAAGGAGGGCAACTTCCTGATTTTGGTGCCTTTGGTGACTTAGGCCCCTCACAACTCAAGTGTTGACTGTAGTGAATTGGTCCTCTGCAGCCACATGAAGGAGACTCTGGGAATTGTCCCAAGACCTTCATTTTCCAGAGAGAAATGTGATGCTCAGAGACCAAGAGACTTACAGGGATGGGGTTGGGGTGAACACTGGTCTCTCATTCCCCCCCACCAAGCATAGACCCTGGGGACAGGTAAGTCTCAGCTGTTTGGTCAGACACTTCATCACTGGCCCTGACAGTGGGTGCCAGCAGGCTTTACAGCTTTCCTAGCTGTGACATGAGACGTCAGTGACCACACCCCCTTCTTTCAGGATACTGTTAACCCTGACAACCCAAGGCGAGCAAAGACCATGAAGCTCCAGCTTTATGCCTTTCAAATGAGAAAATGAAGCTTGGGGGATCATGGGCCTTTCTCTAGCACCTGACTGTCCTGTCTTCTACAGGCCCTGAGCTGAGAAGCCAGCAGAATGCCCGGCTTGCTGAACCGTGTCACTGGGGCAGCCCTGCCTCTCATGGCATCTGATGTCACCTCCTATGTCAATGGCTACGCCCTGGGCCTGACAGCCTCCCTCACCTATGGCAACCTGGAGATTCAGCCCTTCCAAGGTAAGAACTGCCATCTCCACATTGATCCCTTGTCCTGCAGCTCACTAGCTGGCTGACATCGGGCAAGTGTGTGGCCTCTCGGCGTCTGCTTCCTCATCCGTAAAGTGGATTTCCAGGCCTGCCTCGCCCCCACAGGTCTGAAAGTGACGGAGAGTTGAAAGCAAGGAGTGTCAAGACTGGAGTCAAGGTTTGGGTTCGGCAGGGAGGTGTGGAAGAAGTAACAACACCTGAAGAAGAGCTGTACGGGTGGATACGACTCATTACTGGGGGTGGTTGTCAGGGTAAAAACAGGGATGGCTACCACACACCCCTCCTTCCCCCAAGCAAGGACCGACAGAGGTCTGGGCAGGGGTTAACTGGACAGGATTCTCTCCCCCAAACCCTTCTGTGCTTGCCTATTTATTTGATTGGTTGCTTGGTGTGTTTTTGTTTGTTCTGTTTTGGTGGTTTGGTTTTGGGTTTTTGGTTTTCTGTTTTTTTCAGACAGGGTTTCTCGGTAGCTTTGGCTATTCTGGACTGACTCTACAGACCAGGCTGGCCTTGAACTCAGAGATCCACCTGCCTGTGCCCCCACCCTCAAGTGCTGGGAATACAGGCGTGTGCCACTGTGCCCATCTTGTTTTGTTATTTTAGATAGGGTATTTGCTCTATAGCTCTGGTACTCACCATATAGTCCCAGCTGGCCACAAACTCTCAGCAATCCTCCTGCCCCAATTACCCCCTAAGTGCTAGGGTTACAGATGTGCCACCACATCTGACCAGGATCACCTTCTTATTCAAAGAGATGGAGTCTCCTAATGGCTAACCCATTCTCCCTGCCCATGTCCCAAACCCTGCCACCGTTTCTGTGCTGTCCTGGGGGCCAACAACACCTGAAATGAACTCACATGGAAACTTTCTTCTCTTCAGGGATTTGGGCTGAACAATTGGCCCTGATCTTCTATTTGAGGGAGGCTGGAGTTAGAGACTGAAAACAGGGCCTATCTAGGGGGACCCTGGAGACAAAGTTACTGAAAAGCTTGGAGACAGGACACTCAACTTTCTTCTTACAGGAGGGACAAGTGTTCTCATTTTATAGATAAGGAAACTGAGGCTTTAGATGACAGGAAGTCAGGGTTTTCGGAGGTCTCACCATGGTCCCAGCACTGTGCTGGTTCCATGTTGGAAAGAAGATGACTTGAGACTTTCAAGCTTTCCATCACTTAGAACCTAAACAGAAATGCAGAATCTCAGGCAATGTCCCAAATGAATTCAAATCCAAATGCCTACAAGACTCTAGGTGACTAACATATTCTTCACGTTGAAGAAATTTGGCTCTAAAAAGATAACCAGGCCTGTTGATCCAAGCTGGTAATCTCAGCAACTCCCGAGGTCAAAGTAGAAGGATTGAAAATTCAAGGTCAGGGCTGGAGAGACAGTTCAACGGTTAAGAGGACTGACTGCCTCAGCGGTTAAGAGGACTGACTGGTCCTCTTTCAGAGGACCTGGCACCCCTATGGCAGCTCACAACTGTCTGTCAACTCCAGGATCTGACACTCTCACACAGACACTCATGCAGGCAAAACACCAATGCACATAAAATAAAAATTCAAGGTCTAGCTGGCTTAGGTAGCAAGTTCAAAGCTAGCCTGGGAGAACCTGTCTCAAAATAAAAAGTAACAACAGGGATGAAAATGTAATCCCGTGGTAGAGCACTCACTTAGCTTGTGAAAGGCCCTGGGTTCAACCCCTGAGGCAGAAGAGTGTATGGTGCCCACATAACTTAATAAATGGCACCATAAGGTTTGCCTCATGTATTAGCCTCATTTTGTAGATGAGGCTCCTAGTGGCTTAGAGATGAGTCCTGTCCAACCTAGCAAGGTTAGGGAACAAGAACAAGGTTGGATTTGAACCCTCCTCTAGCTCTTCTATAGCCCCACCCTTTGCCACTCAGTACCAGTGGCAAATCAATGACCACGAACCACATTCACCACCAGACTTGTACTTTTAAGCCTAGACACAGCCTACATGAGACCTCGGGTTTTTATTTTCCTTGGAAACCAGACTTTCTGACCTTGGCAGCCCATACACCCAAGAGTAAGAACACAGCTGCCCTTCACTGCCGGCTGCTGCCCTCACCTGCCCAGCCCCAACTCTGCTCTGCAATGTCCTCTCCGGGGCAGTAAATACAACCGACATGGCCAACCCAGGCATGAAGGGTGATGCTGGGCCTTACTCCACCAGCTCTCTTTGTGTATCCGACGGATGAGTACACCACAGTGGTTGGTTTTGAGGCAGTCGTTGGTGACCGGGTTGTGACCATACAGATCAAAGACAAAGCCAAGCTGGACAGAAGCTACTTGGATATCCAGTCTGCCACTGTCACAGGTAAGGAGACCCATCAGGACCACGGTGAGGCTGGCCTGGATGGAGGCCACCTGAGCTAGGGTCTCAGGCACACGGCAAGGCAGCATGGGGCATGTTAGAGAGGACTGAACTACAGCCAGGAATCCAGAGCTAGAATCGTATGAACATCCGTACCTCAGCTTCGTTGTTCTCTAAAGCAGGACACTGTCCTTGTTTTCACCTTCAAGGTGTGATGAGGATCAGAAAAGGGGGTGGGTTATAGATCATTCTGGCTCAGAGGCCTCGTGGAATGAATCTCATGAGGCACGGCTACCTATCCTGATGAGCTTTAGATAAGAAGGGAGTCTAGTCTGAAGACGTGGGGACATGGCTCAATAATAAGAGAGCTTGTACAAAGTTGGGTGTGGTTTTCCGCCCTTACGACCCCAGCACTGGATGGGGACAGACAGAGACAGGGACCGGAGTATCCCTGGAGTTTGCTGATTAACCAGCTCAGGCAAAAATCCTTAACCTCCAAGTTCAGTGAAAGACCTTGTCTCAAGAGAATAGTGGAGAGCCTAACAATGGTGGCACACACCTTTAATCCCAGTAACTCGGGAAGCAGAGGCAGGGGGATCTCTGAGTTCGAGGTCAGCCTGGTCTACAGAGTGAGTTCCAGGACAGCCAGGGCCACACCAAAAAACCCTGTCTTAAAAAGCAGAGGGAGAGAGAGAGAGAGAGCATTATAAAGGAAGTCACCCAGCATCTCCTCTGGCCTGGCACTCACGGGTGCACTTGTGTGCAATGCGAACACACTCATCTGTAAAATGGAGTAAATAATCATACCTACCCAATGCTAAAACGCTGCCTACCAAGAACTTACGCCACAGTTAAGTTCTGGAAGCATGGCTAGTGATTCCAGCTAGTGAGGAGGCTAAGGCTCAGAGAGAGACAGTGGCAGAGTCAAGGTCACACAGCATGCTAGTGGCTTGGCCCATACCAAGTAGCACATGATGTAAGCCAATGAGATCGCTGGTTGTCATGGATCCAGATGAAGCTGAAGATGTTAGCATGAACATCCAGATGCACACTGATTTCTGTTGTGATCTTTCACAACCTGGGAAAATTGCTAGGAACGTGGTTACTAGGAGTAACCATGATGGGACATCAAAAGTGGCCAGGCTTGGAAAGGTCCTGATGATGTTAGAAGAGAGGAAGGGCCCTATGGGGTGGGGGTGGGGTGGTTAGCTGATGAATGGAAAAGACTAGGCCAGTGGGATTTGGAGAAACTGAGCCTTTCAGATGAAAGCAAAGATCATGAGCTTCAGTTGGGGTCTGGGTAGAATTTGCAGGGTGGATTCGTGATCCTTTGGTGGGTGCTCTGGGTTTCTGTGTCTCCTGATGGAAATCCACAGGCTCCAGGCAGACCCATGAAGGACCAGATTCCAGCCAGTGAGCTAATCAGCTGAACAGTTTAGGCAAGGCAGCCCCCTATGTTGGGCCTCAGTTTCCCCATCAGCAAAAGAAGGCTGCTCAAAGCTATGCCACAGCAAGCTTAGAGGGGGGTCAGGGATGAGATCTGCACAGCACCTGACGCCAATCTGGCACTTAGGGAACATTCCACAAGAGGGGGTTTCCATCACCCCTCATTCCTGCACACCGGGAAAGGTGGCCTTGGATGAGGATCTGGAGCGGATTCTGTTCGTGGTCAACCTGGGGACCATTGCTCCCATGGAGAGTGTCACCATCTTCATCAGCACCTCCTCGGAACTCCTCACGCTGCCCAGCGGGGCCGTGAGGGTCCTTCTGCCAGCCGTCTGTGCCCCTACCGTATCTAAGTTCTGCAGCCGAAGATCTGGCTCCTCCAGCAAACAGACTCAAGGGTAAGGAGGCTCTATCCAGACCAAGGGCTGGTCAGGGGCAACAGGAAAGAGACGGGAAGGGGCAGGGAAGCTCTTGGACTCTTTTGCTTTCAAAGTTCCAGAAAAATCTCCCTGAAATGCCCCATTTTGGTACTGGCAGAGGTTCAAGGCTTTAGAATTTCCAGGGGTAATTTTTTTTGATGCACTTAAAATAGTTTTTCTGAGTACTTACAATGTGGTAAACCCTAGGACTAAGTGTCATGGATAGAAAAGGAATAAAACAACTTGATGTTTTGCTGTTTAGAAACTTGGAGAGGAACCAGATGTCGCAGCATTCACCTTTAATCTCAGTACTCAGGAGGAAGAGGCAGGGGCATGTATCTTTGTGATTTTGAGGCCAGCCTGGTCTACATTGTGAGTTCCGGGACAGACAGGACTACACAGTGAGACCCTGCCTCAAAAACAAAAACAAAAACAAAAAAATACTGAAGGGAAGACATTCATGTGATTCTTTATGCGTGTGGCTCAAAAGCATAACTAATTATATAAAAAAAACTGTGGTTTGAAAGAATTTCTTTGGGCTAAGAGGATGAAGAAGAGAGTCCAACTTTGGGCATCCAGAGACCAGGTCAGGCTTCACTGACAGCTTAACAGTGAGGGCAGGGCCCTAGGGGGGATTTGACACAGGCAACAGGCGATAGGCTGCAAGGCTGGGATAGCCAAGCAGAATGGGTGTGTGGCTGCTGCTTTATCTAGAAGACGACAGGCTTAAGTAAGAGCTATGTTCTTCTCCCTCTTCCTCCTCCTCCTCCCCCTACCCTTCTCCTCCCTCCATCTTTCCCCTTCTCATCCTTCTCATTTTTCTCCTTCCTCCCTTTCCTCTCACATCCCTCTCCTTCTCCCCTCCTCCTCTTCTTCCTCCTCCTCTTCTCCTTCCTCCTTTTTTTCCTCCTCCTCCTTTTCTCCTTCCTCCCCTCCCCCCCCTCTTCTCTTTCTCCTCTATTTCCTCATCCTTTCTCATCCATCCCCTTTCCACTTCTCCTCTCCTCCTCCCCCTCTTCCTCCTGAGTGGCTGGGGATGGAACCCATATCCTTACCCTCTCTGTGAATGCTCAGGAAGCTATGGAAATGTGTTATAGAAGAGCACTGGGGCCGATAGTATACAAAGATCCTGAGGCTGCAGCAAGGTTGATTGGCTATGGTGGGGCTAAGAATGGCTATGTCAGAGTGATAGAGGAAGAGCCAAGCCCAGAGGATGGTGGAGCAGATCACGTAGATCTTGAAGATGCCAGAAGCAGGTGGCAAAACTGACCTGGGCAGGTATCATCAGCCCATGTGTCACTTAGCAAGCCAATGGGGCCGCAGTGTAGGTTTGAAAGGCAGGATCTCAGCAGGGTGTGGTGGTGCATGCCTGTAATCTGAGCACTCAGGGAGGCAGAAGCAGGCAGATCTCTATGAGTTCGAGGCCAGCCTGATCTACAAAGTGAGTACAGGATAGTCAAAGCTACACAGAGAAACCCTGTCTCAAAACAAACAAACAAACAAACAAACAAACAATAAAGGCAGGATCTCACTGGGACATTCTGGACTGTAGTAGAACAAAGAGCCCTGGTGTGCTAGCCCTCATTCCAGCTGGCAGAGTTGACAGCTATGCTCTTGAGAATCTGTATCAACTCCCCATGACCCTCACAGCTACCCAAATTGGACACAAGGAAAATGAGAGAGCCAGCTGATGCAGTGTTTTCTGGGCCATGGGGAAGCAAGGGACTCCTGCTCGCTGCCAAGGATATGGGGATTAGATTACAGAGCAGGAAAGCAGCTTGACTATGCTCAGCATGTGCCCTTTGCCCAGGGACACACACAAAAAAAATGTTCTTTAGAAGGCCAAAGGAGACACAGCTAGAATGTTAGCAGTGGTGTCTGTGAGTGTAGGACAGAAGTGAGTGCGTGGAAACGGAAGGCCCTGTGTGGCATGGAGTTAATAGCAGGAACCAAGTGACAGCCGTGCAGACAGAATGAAACTTGGTAATAGAGCCACTGAGGTGCGTGATAGACCACAGCCATGAGGCAGCTGTGACACTACAAGTCATCCATACCAGAGCCAGGAGAGCGGCCAGCTCTGCCAAATCCTAGCCGTAGGTTTTTGGGTGCATCACCTCTGCTTGCTAGGCCTCAGAGCTTCATGTGAGAAGTTGGGCACTGGTGTCCTCCTCCTGGGTTTGTGGTGGGAATGATAAGGGCTGAGGCACTGGGAACCCATACCTGGATCTTGACCCATCCCAGGTACTCCCCAGAGGTAGCTTCTCTCTGTTTCCAGGCCCTCCCTGAAGTCAGGGATGGGAGGAGGCTTGGCTGTTTGAGACCCATAGTCTTCTCATGCTGGCTTGTCTCTGAGCTTCCTCCTCCTCCCCCTCTTCCCTCTCCCTCCCCCTTCTCCTCCATACCCTTTCTAGCAAAGACCCACACTGCTTCGGCATGCATAGCATGGACTCCTACAATGGGCTGTGTCTGGCCACTCTCCTGGACACGGATGTGACCAACCCCATGGAATATGAATTCAACTTTCAGCTAGAGATCCGTGGACCATGTCTGCTCGCAGGTGAGAGGAAGATGCCCAGGCACAGAAAGAGACGAAGAAGACTGGGGAGATAGGGCTTCAGCCTCAGAGCCACCAGAGAGATTGGGGGGGGGGGAGTATGGGAGTTCTAGCAGGAAGACCACCTAACCCAGAAGTCAAGGAGAAGCCAAGCTGAACCACTCAGAGCTTGATGAGCAAGCTGTCCCAAGATACACCTCTCCCCAAAACAGTATTCAAGTTCACTCAGCCCCACGCTGTGGCTTCCTGAGGAAATATCTTCTGGAGAGTGGTCGGTAGCTCAGCCTTCTGCAGAAGGCCATGGCTATGGAGCTGAGCTCTAATTCTCGCCTGGGGAATAGTCTAACCCCTCCCTGCAGCCTAGCCACCTAATCCCCCCATCCCGAGATGCTGAGGTACATCCTGGTTATGAAACATAAAGTGCTCTGGGTAATTCCAACATGCAACCAGGGCTGAGAACTGGGATTGGATGGTTCTCCTCCCAGCCAACATGGGTTTTTAAAGGGTACAGGGCATGGTTTCTTATCAATGGGTGTTTATTGCAATGCAAGCTGCACTTTAAGAACACCCACAAAAAGACATTCACTCATGGAGCACTGAGCCCTTTCTTAATGCTTATTAGCATTTGGGATACACTTTGTACCCCAAGAGCAAGCATGCCCCCCATGATCCCTGCTAGATCCTGTGGTCAGGAAAGGAAGGACCACCGGGCACCATCTTCAAGACCATATACACTGGGGGAAGCTGAGGAGGGTCCCCCTGCTCACACACCAAGACAGGAGTCCATGTTAGGGATGGCCTTTGAGTCATCTCCAGCCGAAGTCTCAGTCCCCCCACCCCCTTTGAGCTCTCTTCGCTCATGCACTCCTAAATCTGTGCCTCCTCTGTCCCGTCTTTCTGTGCCGCTCAGGGGTGGAGAGCCCCACACATGATATCCGTGCAGATGCCTCCCCGTCGGCACACTCAGCCAAGAGCATCATCATTACCTTGGCCAACAAACACACCTTTGACCGGCCAGTGGAGATCCTTCTCCACCCCAGTGGTATGGTACCCCATGTGGGGCTTTGCTGCCCTTGCGGAAGATGGCTAGTCAGTGCAAGAGTTGGGGGCACTGTGGGAGATGGGAAGGAGACCAGAGACTTGCCCCCAAGGGAAATCTGTGTGTATCTGGCAGAGCCAAAGTTCCAGCCCCAGGTGTCATCTGCCTGGGCGGCCTCGAGCCCTCAGGCTGGCTGAGCAGAAGGGCTGTGCCAATTCACCCTCAGGGGGAGGGGGGCTTCATCTGTTGCCTCCTCAAAGCTCACAAAATGCCTAGTCCTCAAAAGATTTCACAGGCATTTGGCTCAGCCCCAGTCCGTTTTACATAAGGGTAAACTGAGGCCCATGAAAAAAAGGTGGTGCTAGGCTACCGCAGCTAAGGAGTCATATCCTAACCCCTAGTGCTTCACACATTCAGGAATATCACCCTCTTCTCCAATTAGAAACCCACCCCACCCCCAGCCCCCATGAAGAAAGCACCCCTAGACTGCCACCCCTGCTGTGCCTCTCACATCCAGGCAAGTACTGAGCATTAATCTTGTCTGTGCAGAGCCTCACATGCCACACATCCTGGTGGAGAAAGGGGACATGACCCTGGAGGAATTTGAACAGCACTTGAACGAGAAAGCAGGTGTCAATAGGGAGATAAAGAAGGACAGCAGCGCGGAGAGAAAGGTGAGACTCTGGTGCAGAGCTGGGTGGCACTGGGGACTTGGTCTCACTGAACCATCGAGGGCACTGAGCCCGAGGTGGAGGGCATGACTCACCTGAAATCGCATCCTGGTGGCAGAGCCTGGACAAGGAATGAAAGGTGTTTTCTTCTGGGGTCCCAGGCACCACAAGGAAGGTGGGAGTGGACTTCCGGATACAGCAGGCATCCCAGCCTACCCCTTTCCGGGTCAGCTTCTCCTGGTACCGCTCAAAATTCCTAAGCCTGCCAGGACCTGCAGCTAACTACAGATGCCACCTTGGCCTTATTTCTCCAAGCCACTCTCCCTACAGCCTCCTCTTCACCTCCTCGTTCTTCCTCCATTTGGGGTCCTCAATTTCTCCTACAAATTGGATGAAACCCTTGCCCAGCCCAACACTGAAGAGTAGGGAGGTGTTGTCCTCAGGAGGGCAGGGGAGTGCTGAACCTACCACACTGTGAGCCCCGTAATCTGCCTTCCACACATGCTCCCCCACCCCCAAGAGCGCATGTCCTGCATGTCAGGATAGCACATCTCTTTTTCTTGGCTCATTTGCTGATGAGTAGTCTGAGGTCTAGTACCCAGTGTTATCTCTAGACTTTAATCTGGGGTATCAGGACTAGAGGACTGGTAACACTCCTGGAATGGGGTGCAGTGTAACTGCGCTTAACTGTTCCTCACCTTCCTGCTACCCCGATGGTGCAGGACAGGGAGAAGGGAAGGTGACCGGAAAATGTGGGTGACATAACTGCTAGTGTCAACCCCACTGTGGGACCACAGTGAAAACTCCTGCTGGGGAGATGTTGGGGAGTTGATATCATCATTATGCTTAGAGATGGAGGGGGGGAGTCAAGGAGAGAAACTCTTGTCTTCCAAATGAATTTGCAAAAAAGGGAAGCTGAGCTAGGTTTCAAAGATGAGGACAAGCAGGACATGCCAGAAGTGCCATCAAGCTCCAAGAACAAATAATGGTGTAGAGAGGGCAGGTAACCCCCCTATTGTCCCCCTACCCTGGCCTGGAGATGGCTGTCCTGACTGTCAGACCTTAAAGCAATTAGCTCCGGGGCCGCTGTGGCAAATGAGAATTAATTTACCACCTTGGGTTAGTTATGCAAACAGCCAGTAGTCTCATGAGTTCTGAGAATGACAGTGATCAAGAAGCAGCTGCTCAGAAATGATGAGTGTATTGTAATTGGATAATGGCAGCTTGAGGAGCCATTAGGGAATCCAGAGCCAAGCACCCACTCAGCCCTCTGAAAGGCAGAATAATCGAGTTGCTGAAAGGAACTCCCGTGGTGTGAAAGGAGCAGAGATGGCTGTTTCTGCCTTGGGCTCTGTCATCCAAAAAGCCAAGCTGGACAGTGGCCTTTTGGCCTCTGGGCTCTGGATGGGTGGTAGAGTGGGATCCACAGAAGGGAGAGACGTCAGGTCAGGGGCACCCAGAAGGAGAGCATCACCCAGAGGATGCTTGATGGACTGTCCATAGCTTATTTAGCAAAGAAGGGGGCAGAACACTGTGGAAGAGATGGAGGTCAAAGACAGACAGAGACTGGAACAAACCAAACAAACTGCCGCACACGGAGGTCAGTAGCTGATGCAGGCCGAGGGCTGCAGGGGCTGAAAAGAGAGATCCAGTGTCTCACTTACTCATCCAACAAATACTATTGGTACTAGAGGCACAGCCCTGGAAAGAATACATTATTTGCCTTAAGGACCTTATATCCTAGACCAGGAAGACCAAGTGAGCAAGATTGGCTAGAAGAGAGGTTGATACTGGGAGAGAAATTGGACAGGACAATATGATGGCAGGTATTCTATAGCCAGGTGCCAAGCAAATGCCTGTATGAGAACAAGATCCGGGTGGCAGAAGGCCCATGAGGAGAAGGGTGGGCAGATAAAACACAGGTGCCAGAACTGCAAGTCGAATAGGAGGATGGGGCTGAAATAGTCAGAACTGAGTGGTAGACAGACACCTGGAGTTTCATAAAGTACGGCTTAGAGTATGGGGCAAAGCTGTTGCTAGCTGCTGTGTATACGTGGACCACAGGGAAGAAAGATGAGGCCACCAAGAGGTGACTGGAGGTCACAGAGCCTGCCCCAAACTTGGGTGATGCCGTAGAGACAGCAAATCAGGACAAATCATCAAATCAGATGTCTGTTAGGTAAGGAGAGGAAGTCTCTGCTGAAGAATGGGATGGGAGGGGTCTGGAAGAGAGAGACATTGCGGAAGACTGCTATGTCTCCGGTGTGAGCACTGGATGAGTGCTGAAGCCCACTGTTAGGATGAGGAAAGGACAAGAGGAGACTGAGAAACAGACACAAAGAGATGTGTGGATACAGCCAGCCTGTGGCGGAGGGAGTGGAGATGGAGGAAATAGATCCAATTCAGAGTGAGGTGAATGGAGGGTCAGGAAGAGGGGTCTGCAGCAGCATGTGACCCCAGAGCGAACCCCAAACCCCCAAGCATAACAATACGGAAGGTTAGAGGGTAAGGGCGCTTGCCTGACAAGCTGAGATCAATCCCCAGAACCAACATGATGGAAGGAGGAAAGTGACTTCTACAAGCTACCCCCTGCCCTCCACATGCACACCCTGTATGCACAGGCACACACAACAACAATGCATCCATGTAGAGGTGAACGAAAGTAGAAACCGGCTAGCTAAAGGTTCAGGCGGCAAAGTGCCTACAGTGTAAGCACGAAGACCAGAGTCCTATCACTGGCACCCACATAAAATCCAGGCGCACACAGGTTGCAGGCCTGTGATCCCAGTGCCGGGAGACAAAGACAGGAGGGTTGCTGCGATTGTCTGACCATCTGGTCTACCTGAGGAAACGATCTTCAAGTTGAGAGATCCTGACTCAGAAACTAAGGCGGAGAGCAATTGAGGAAGACATCCAAAGCAGACCTCTGGCCTCCATTTGCATTCACACACACAAGGGCACATCCACACATGATGATGAAATACAATAGAGGTAGACTGAAGCTGCTCCCCCTCCTGTACTGTCACTGCTCCTAACTGGACACCATGGGGATTCCCGGAGAACAAGAGACCAAGGTGCGGCACAGTAGCTAGTAGGGAGGGGGAGAGCACAGCAAAGGCTGCATTCAGCTCAAGAGGTGCCTGAAGCCCCCAGGACAGGAAGCAGCAGCCACAGCAACAATTGTGGCATGGAATCTGCCAGGAGGCCAGCATCACAGGTATGGCATTCCATCCACATGACAATTCCATGAGGCATGCACACACGTTCCTCATTTCGTGGATGAGGAAGCTAAGCAAGAATATCCACCTGGAGGAATGGGTGGTGGGGCTATCCAAACATGAGAACTGTAAAGGAGAAGGAAGAATTTATCAGTGGGAGAGATCCAGTGAGCAGGGGAACCAAGCTCTCAACCAAGTAAACCAGAGAGGGGCTTATATCCAGTGTGCGCATGAAAGATTATTATTCAGTTTGGGGTGGCCCCTCCTATGTGCTAATGTAGTTCATACAACAACACAGTTGGATGGTGTCAGAGTTTGGGGTTCAAACTCAGAAATGTGCAAAGCTGTGCTTACTCTCACAGCCTTTGACATTATGGAGCACCGGAGCCAGGGACAGCCAGCCTGGAAGCTTTTGGCATAGAGTAAAATTTGGATCTAGCTGGTGCTTAGTGAGTGATAGGGAGTTGGGGGGGGTGCTAACATGAGTCACAAGATTTTTTAATTGTCCAAGAGCTCTATGACTTTTTCGAGGGGGGGGTGAAAAAATGTCTCTGCTCCCCAGACAGACCAACAATGGACTAAGGAAATTATTCCACCTCAAGTGTAAATTAGTAAGCCAGTGAGTATGGGGTTATTTACAGGAACATGGCTGACTCAAAGGCAAGGTGCCTCACTGAACAGTCCTACTGAGCATGAACAATGACTCATGAAAGCTGCATCCTGGGAGCTCCCTCACAACTTGGGCATGTTGAAGAGTCTCCTCAGCCCAGCAGTTAATGCTGCTTCTAAAACCCCAGGCAGAGACCTTGTTAATCCTGTAGGTTTCAGGAGCTTCCTGAGACGTGCGACTTGTGTTGATCTCCCAAATCTTATAATTTTCTTCCTGAGTCTTAAGGAGCCTCCCTCCTGTGGGAGGAGATGTCTCAATTAGGAGGAAACAGCCACACCACATCAAATCCAAGAGTGTTCCCTTCTTCTCCAGACAGAAGTCATCCGGAAGCGTCTCCACAAAGACATTCCTCACCACTCAGTCATCATGCTCAACTTCTGTCCTGACCTCCACTCTATGCAGCCCAGCCTGAGGAAGACCCATGGGGAGTTTATCTTCCTCATCGACAGGAGCAGCAGCATGAGTAAGGCCAGCATCCAGTATGTCAAGGTACTGTGTGTGGGACCCCGCCCCCCAGGAGCCAGGGCTCAAGTACATCAGTTGCGCTTTCCTCTGCCTGGCTTCCAGAGGACTTTGTGTTCTGAGAAGCCACTTGTTCAAAATCAGTTTAAGCAGAGACACCTAAACTGCTCTCAAAATAAACCTCTTGAAGTAATGGGAGCAGAAGCAGAGATGCTGTGTGTTTACAAGGAGTGAGGTCCTTCACTTTCAGCAAAAGTGCTCCACACCTGTGCTGGATAAAGCACTCCCCTAAGTCCTGATTGGGGAGGAGCACAGAGGGAGGGGGGAATTCTAAATGTGATGTGCAGGAGGAGTGTTAGATGCTCCTAGTCTGTTTAATGCTATTATCCTGAGAGATTGCTCCCATTGTCACTGTTTCCACATAAGAAAATGGTTCTTGAGAGTTGTAGTAACCTAACCCAAGATCACACATAATCTGTGATCAAACCAGCAGCCGCCTGACCTTTCTCCCCACCTGACATCATAGTCATCAGGCACACGGCCCCTGCTGCATGAACTCAATAGAAAAGCGCTAACTCAGTGAGGTGCTTGCAAGGACCTGATTCTCGGAAGTCATGTCTGGAAGAAATGTCCAGGCGTGGTGGTGCACACTTGTAATCTCAGCGCTGGGAGGCAGAGACGGGTGGACCTACAGAGTCAGTTCCAGTTCAGTGACAGACCTTGTCTCAAAAAATAAGACGGGAGTGTCTGAGAACAGCACCCAAGGTTGTCTGGTTCCCATGAGCATGTGCGAGCATGTGCGCATACACCACACAAACACACCACACACACACACGCACACACACATGCACGCATGCCACACACATACACACCATATTATATAATTTAGAGCATTTAGTTATTCTTTCTCCCAAATGACTAATGATGAGCAAAGCTCTACATGCAGCCATCTTAGGAAAAAACAAAAACAAGAACAAGATACCAACATATTCAACACATTCACATCCTTCACAGCCAAGTGTGGCATACTGACTTGATAGCCAGTCAGAAGGCCTGGGAGTTTGGTTTGTTCTTGCTGCTTGGGAAGCGCCACAAAAAAAAAAATAATAATAATAATAATAATAAATAAATAAATAAACCACAGAAGAGTGATAGAGCCTTCCTCACCTACCAGAGAGCCCCTCTTCCCTGTCAGGAAATCACTAATCTTGTTATTGAATTATCCAATGTTCCCTTTTATTGTGACTGCTGCAGGTGTCTGTCTCCCTATCTGGAGTTATGAGCTCATTAAGAGAAAGGACTGTCTCATCCTCATCTGTCCCCATGTGGCCTATTTCTGTCCTTCTGGATAAAACCCCTCATTCTGTGTAGTGGACTGAGTAATAGATCGTAGCTCAGGAGAATAAGAGAGGGAAGGGGCAAGAAAAGAGTGGGCTCTCCTGTCACCCAGCATTCCATCCTCCCCCTTATCTTGCCCATGGAGCAAGCTCTTGTTTCCAGGGCAACAGACTGAGCAAGGGGTGGGGGGTGCTTATGTGGAATCACTGAGGCCAGCTAGGCTTTGGTCCTCTTAGGCCCTCCTGCTCTTGAATAATGACAGAAGTATCCTAGATGGAATCAAAGATCCTTCTGGAAGCATCTTGACATGTGGGTGTGAGACTGGCGGGGGTACCTTCTGGCCTACCGGCCACTGAGGTGAAGGAGGGTGGGGAGCTGTCCAGGGTGCTGGCGTGCCACTGCGAACTTGCAGATCCCGTGGCTCTCTGTAATCTGTTTTGTAGCCACATCGAGACGCCCCCTTGGTCACCTTAGAGCGCCCCCCCCCCCGCATTATAAACCTAAAAAGATCTTTGGGGAGCATTTCATACCCCGCCCCTCAGTTCTGGAGTAAAGAAATTGAGTCCTGAAGAAGTGAAATGCTTTTCCCAGGATCACAAGGTTGGTGGAGGGCAGGTCTGTGCTCATTTTGCATTCACTGCTTATGAGGAATAAGACATGCCCTCTGGTTTTACAAAGCTCTCTTGTTCATATCACCTCTGCGACACGGCATTGTTGAAGGAGCATTTCTGAGGTCCAGAATCGATTCTGTCACAATTGCTATGTGGCTTTGGACAAACTGACTCCCAGTGCTGGACTTTATTCATCCTTTCTATGAAGTGAGGAGAAAGGATTAATTCAGGGAGGGCAAATGTGCATCATGTGGCCCCTCTGCTGTTTCTCCTCAGTCCAGGTAGACATCAATAATTGATCCTGACTATGTCCCAACACCCTCCCACCCCTGCCAAGCCTGGACTGGGTCTCTGAGTCCTCTCAGGCAAGCACTCCAGGAAGTTATTATCATTGAAATGAAATTGTTTATGAGCAAACATCCTTCTTGTGAACTGCAACCCTCCTCTGCCTTTAGTGCCTCAGAGTTCTCTGACCGTGACTTTCTCTGCTTTTTCCTTCGGACCGCTTTCCCTGTGGAATCTCCCCCTTGCTTTCTTCTTAGTTCCGCTCAAGGTCATCCCTTCCCAGATGCCTCTGTGCTTGCGCAATCCATTCTGCTAAGCGTGACCCTTTCAGAGAAAGGCACAGAAATTACTTGGGGAAAGCCGTGCCAAGGCTGGTGGGGGAACGGGATGTTTGAGTCATTCATTATGGTCCACTGAGTAGAAGTTTTAGGGACAACAAGGCTTGGGGAGAGGGAAGGAGTAGAAGTCCAAACAGCCCACGCCAAAGGGGAAAGTTCAGGCAATTTAATTTCCGGCAGCTGGTCTCATTCTTCAGCCACCACTTGCTGCCAAAAAAACAGGGCTTTAAAATTCTAATAGGTGTGAGTCGAGACAATCTGTACGGATCAGCAGAGTCCCCTGCCAGCAGGAATATGCATTAGTGGCTAATGAAAAAAAGCAGATATTGACTTCTTTTGTAGAGACACAAATGTATTGACACAGGCAGTGCAGAGAGGCAGTGGGGACATTAATGGAAACATCTAATGTGAGCATTTGCAGAGGGGCAGAAGAGGGATCGCTGCAGGGCCATAGTGTCTGGAAGATGCAGCAATTTCGGAGTTAACTGGCAACCGCTTGCCTCTATATTCTGGAGCATTATGGTCCGTTTACCTGAAACCATGCCGAGATGTCAGAGGATGGGAGCATGACTATAGGATGTGGGGGTTAAGGAAAGACCTTTCATTTCTGCCTCTGTGCTGAGGCACGGCCAATACAAACGAAGCCTTCAGAGCTGTACTGGGGGAATTTTTTTTTTATTATATTTTACTTTGTGGTTATTCTGGAATGTGTGTGGATATCAGAGGACAACTTGTGAGGTTCAGTTCTCTCCTTCCACCATGTGGGTTCCAGGGACTGGCATAGATGCCATCTCACCAGAGCCAGAGCTGTATTTGTGAAAGCCAAAGTCAGACACCCAGGTTTTATGACCCAGAACAATGCCTCAGTTCTCCTGAGCCTCCATCCCCTTCTCTACAAGACGGACGCATTAGTGCTAATACGGACTCACTGGCTGGTAATAACAACCATTTAATGTTTCTTCTGTGCCAGGCTGAGGCCCAGACAGACCCAAAGTCAAGTGAAAAATGAGAAGGTGGGGTTTCCACTGAGACAGGTTTAACTTCAAAGTGTACCACGGACCCACTATGCTCTAATTCATGTCACAGTGATTGAATGTGATTGTTAATTGAAGGTGCTTAGCTCTGCAGTGAGCACATCGTAGCTGCTGGCCACTGAGCACAGCACTGGTCATCATTATTGTCACTTTCCCTGCCCACCATCACTTCCACTGCTTTCCTTGCTTGCTTGCTTGCTTGCTTGCTTCCTATGTTTTTGTATAGAGCTGAGATCTGTAGCTCAGGTTGTCCTGGAAGTACCAACATAGCCCAGGCTGGCCATGAGCTATTCATTCCCCTGCCTTCAACTCCTCAGTGCTGAGATTTGGGGCATGCCTCACTGACTCTCCCCCTCCCCTTTCTCTCTGTCTCTCTCTCTCTTCCTTCCTTTCTCCCTCTCCCCCTTCCTTTCTTTCTTCCTTTCTTTTTCATGTTATATGCAGGGGCATGGGGGGAGGTGTAGCATTGCAGGTGAGAATGCAAATTCATGCACCTATGTTCATGTCTGGAGAGACCAGAGTAGAATACTGGGTGCCCTTCGTTATCATTCTCTACCGTAATCCTTTAACACAGGGCCGCCCCGAACTGGAAGCTCACCTTTTCAGCTAACCAGCCAGTTCTCATGATCCACCTCTCTCCACCCACCAATGGGTACCCACAGCCATGTTCAGCTTATTGTTTGGGTGCTAGGGATTTGAACTTGGGTCCTTGTGTTTTTGGAGAAAATACCCTTACCTCTCTCCAGCCCCACACTAATTTTAGCACTTTTATCAAGATCTCCTGGTAGTGCATAGCTACAGATGATAGAGATCTCTAATGTCCACACACTTCAGAGGCCAAGAGGCAAGGCTGAATCTTGGCAGCACTGTTTACTAACTGGATGCTCTCCAACCGATCATTTGCCCTCTGTGTGTGCTCATGTTCTCATCTGTAGAATGGGGATATCAACGGGCCTGCTGCTGAGGGCTGAGTAGCAAGGCAGACTCTGGAAGTAACATCATTTGCACCTAATAAATACTAACGAAAGATACCTCCATGGGGATCTGTCACTGGTTAATGACAGGATGGTGCTGATGCAGGGGCCTTGGATGAGGGCCAGACGCCATTGGACCAACAATATGACCTCCCATCAACATCAACTTTGCTTTGGTGGAGAGGGGAATGGGCAGACCCTGCTCTCGTCACCACTGAAAGTCAGCAAGAGGTGATGGGACTCCGAGGCCATGGCAGAGTGGCTCTGATGAGTCAGGCCTGTTGATATGTCATATGCTGAGAGCTTTGATGGGTCAGTCTCTAGTGGGAAACAGCAGACTGTATGATACACGGAGAAGGAGTTGCTGGATGCAGGCAGGGTGACAGGTCCCTTTGGAGGTGGCTCCATGCTGAAAAGAGCAACACTGGTGCGCGGTGACAGGGCCCCTGTCTAAGTCCTAAGGATCCTTCTCTTACCTGGCAGGAGGCCATGTTGGTGGCCCTTAAGAGCCTCGTGCCAGCCTGTCTCTTCAATGTCATTGGTTTTGGATCCACATTTAAGACAATCTTTCCTTCCAGTCAGATCTACAACGAGGTAAGAAGAGGGGAATTCTGGGCTTGGGTGGGTGATGGACACTGATGAACGGGAAAGAGAGGGAACAGCAAAGATTCATCCTGGGGACAACCTCAGATGCTGCCCAACCAGGGAGAGCCCAAATCACAGCTTGGGCAGCAAACCGAAATGAAACCATGCTTGCTGAGGCCTTCAGAAATCTTCTATCGCTTACAATAGAGTCTGTGAGAACATGGAGGCTGGAGAGCAGGGACAGAGGCAGAGGACAAGGGACAGGGGACACATCTATTATGCTCATGGCCTGCTAGCCACCACAGCCTCTATCTCTTGAAGACCATGGGTTCTTGCAAGGCTGAACTACAGACCTGGATGGTGACAGACAGGAGAACAATTAGGTAGCCAAGTGGCTGTGGAAGAGGCTGTGGGGGTACTTGCAAGACTAAGGCTTAGGGGACAAAAGGAGTTTAGACCCATCAGCAAAACTGCATCCTCCTCCTACCCAGAGCCTAGGGGGAAAGGAAAGACAAAAGGGAGGGTGGAGAGCAGAAGGGAAGGAGGGATATTATTGCCTCTTACTACTAAAAGTGACTAGACGAATTTTCACAATAAAAGAGAAATACATATTGATCCAGGTGGTACATGATGGCACATCTGCAATCCCAGCCCTGGGATGATCCGGAGTTCAAGGTCAGCCTCAGCCATATAATAACTCTGGGGCCAGCTCGGGCTAACATGATACCCTGTCTCAAATAAAAAAGAATGAAAATGCATGTTGATTGTTGATTGTTAGATTTAGATAATCAACAGGAAAACCATTTTTAAATGTCCCATGATTACATCAGTCAGACAAAAGCAAACAAACAAAAAATGACGAGGGAAAGAAGCGCTGTTTCCAGAACACCTTCTGTGCATTTGTTTACACAGATTTTAAAAGTCAGAATTAGGTCTTCCATACTGTGATGCAACCTACTTCCCTAGTCTATTATGAACATATTTTCATGCCAGAAAATGTCCATCTACAACATTTTAATGACTGTCTGGCCCACACCACAAACAGACTGGGATTTAGTTATGAAGCCTGGAGGCTGGCCTTTCCATGGTCCCATGTTTTTCTAATTAGTCATTTTTGCTTATGGATTTCCCATGCATCGCTGCCTGTCTCCTGAGGATGCATTCAAAGCTACACATTCATCGTAAGATTTTATATTGACAATATTGATCATTGCTACTATTTTTTTTAATTAGGGTCTTGCATAGTCTAGGTTAATTGAAACTCCCTAATAGCTGAGGATGCCCTTGAAGGACTAATCCTCCTGCCTTTGCCTCCAGAATGGATTGCAGCTGTGCTCCCAACGCTCCTGGTTTACGTGGGGTTGGGAATAGAACCTAGGGCTCTCCTGTGTGCTGGGTGAGCACTCTACCAACCGAACCCTGCCCCCCAACCTCAGTATTGACCATTCCTTCTAAGCCCCTTCCAAGCATGGATATAGAGAGTCTTCTGAGCCGGGGGCAGGAGATTGTGTCCAGAGGGAATTAACTCCCATTGCAATACCATCCACCTGTTGGGGAGTCAGGGTGCACACGGTTCGTCTAGGAGGGAGGGACTCCAAAGCACAAATTGGGGAAGCAAGATTCTTCTCAAAGTGCCATGGGAGTCAGATGCTGTAGTCAGATTCAATGGTCCTGTCTAAGGATGGCCTCAGTGTCACCTGCTTCCCTTACCAGGCAGGAAGCATTATTTGTGCTGAGGAATTCTACCTTTTTCGGAGGTGCTTATATTTCTAAAGAAGAATCCAGAAAGGACAATATTGTCATTGTTCTGCATTTCAGGCATTGACATGGGGATAAATTACATCAAGTGGCTGGCTATTCTCCATATGGGTGGGCAGGGGTGTGGCCAAACTAAGAGCCAGAGAACACAGTTCAGCCCGGGCCGGCGTGGGAGCGTGGGGTATTTAGAGACTCCACGCCACAAGGCGAACCTGGGACCTGCCTGCCCTGCCATGGTCCCTCCCTACAGGAGAACTTGGCCACAGCATGTGACTGCATCCAGAGACTTCGGGCTGATATGGGGAACACCAACCTCCTCTCCCCTCTCAAGTGGATCGTCCGGCAGCCACTGCACCCAGGCCACCCACGGCTCCTCTTCCTGATCACGGAAGGGGCTGTGAACAACACTGGGAAGGTTCTGGAGCTGGTGCGGATTCACTCCTCTTCTACCAGGTCAGCCCAGCCTGCAGGCCTAGGGTCAGATTATTCTGGGCTGCCTAAGCTTGGGGGCATCCAAACCAGAGTAAAATGTGGGAGAGGATAGCGCCTACATTTCCCAGAATGCCTTGTTTCCAGGATGCTGAGGGCTGCTTTCCAAGTTTGTCTTTTTTTTTTTTTTTTCCTAAGATGAGGAGGGGAAAGTCGCCCATAGTTTGCAAGTCCAAGTGCAGCTTAGGGAAAGCTTCGAGTATTGACTGGGAGTTGAATGGTGTGTGTGTGTGAGTGTTCGTCTGTTTGTCCATGAAGCTCATCTTCCCCCCTAGCCTTTTGTCTGGAGACTGGGCCATCTGTAAACTCCCTCTGCTGGACCATGCTCTGTCTCTTATCCCACTGGGGACAATGAAACAGAGCAGCCTCTGTCCTTGTCCTCCAGGTGCTACAGTTTTGGAATAGGACCCAGTGTCTGCTACCGACTGGTAAAGGGGCTGGCGTCTGTATCCAAGGGCAGCGCAGAGTTTCTGATGGAGGGGGAGCGGCTGCAACCGAAGGTATGCGGAAGGGCCTCCAGGGTCTCCCAGTGCTGCCGAATCGGCAGCTCAGATAGGCCAGAGGATGAGCTCTACGCTGGGCCTCTGGGCCAATCCCAGCCTTTATAAAATGCTATGCTCAGACATGACGGCAAAGATCCATTCCAAGAGTCTAAGGAGGGTGTCCACTGCTGGACCCGCTACCCCAAGCCTGCTGGGCCTTCCTCCCCTCAAGCTCATCTTTATCTCCTCACCCACCCACACCTACTCTGTTCTGACGCTCTCCAACAGCTGATGAAATCCTTGAAGAAGGCCATGGCCCCGATGCTATGTGACGTGACCGTGGAGTGGATCTTCCCTGAGACCACGGAGGTCCTGATCTCTCCTGTCAGGACCAGCTCCCTTTTCCCTGGGGAACGGCTGATGGAATATGGCATTGTGTGTGATGCCTCCTTGTACATTTCCAGTTCCATTTCTGTAAGTACCCCAAACGCGTGGGAGATTGTCTGAGGAGCTCTCCTTTCTCCGCTCCCACCCTCACTACGTTTCTTTCAATCCCCCTCTCAGGAGCGCTCATCATGGTCAGGTTTTTGAGGCGTTAGGAAGTATAAAATGAACTTAGCACATTAGCCCAGAGGACCTGGGGGCGTGGCCCAGGGGTGTGGCCCAGGGGCGGGGATGTGGCCCAGTCGGTGGACCGCTCTCTGTGCTATAGCATGAGGACTTGAGTCCAATCCCTGGGCAGAAATGCTAGGTAGAGTGGCATGCACTTGTCCTCTGGCTTGCACATGCATGTGTGGGCCACCCCACCACAGACGTGTACCCACACACGGAAACATACATGCAAAAACAGACATGCATTAAAAAATAAAATAGATAGAAATGAAAGAGGGAAGCCACCGAGGAGAGTAAGCATTACTGAACTCTTAAGGGGACTATGACCAGCTGCTGGAGGTTCGCTCGGCTAGACTGGGCAGCTTCCGTTCACCATATTGAAATGTTTCTTAATTGGAACACGGGCCATGTATCGAACGTGTTTCCAGGAATAATCAGAATGCTTTATGAAATGTCCAAGATTGTTAATGGTTAATACAAGTGTGTTATGGAAGGTGGGCTATTCAACTATGTAACTTCTAAACAAAAGGCTTTTTCTCACAGCCATGTTTTATTTAATTTTAAATTGTACTTGGAGCCCTGAAAGACACACATGCCCATAGAAGGGACCCAAACCAAGCCATCGATTCATTCTCTTGGGCTGGTGAAATAGTTCGGCAAGATAAAGTGCCTGCCTCACAAGTCTGAGGAACCAAGTTCCACCACAGAAGCCACATATTCAAGGAAGCATTGTGGCACTTACTTGTCATGCCAGGGCTGGGGAGGTGGAGGCAAGAGGACCTGTCCCTGGGGCTTGCCAGCCAGGCAAACTCTAGGACACTGAGAGACCCTGTCTCAAAAAGACAGTGTTGAATGTTGCTGAGAACGATGCCCAAGGTTGCCCTCTGGCTTCTACACACTCACACACACACATGTGCATTCTCGTGTGTGTGAACAGACGTACAAACATGCACACAAATGCACCTACCTGCATGCACCATTTTTCAAAGTTCTATTTTCTTCACCCATGAGACCGGCCGTGTTTTCTTCAGCTATGGGCAGGTGTTGGGTGGGCGGCACCTTCATTCGCTGTTGCTGGGAGTACGACTTGCCACTACTTGCCTGAAAGGCAATCTAGAAATAACTTGTGAAATTAGAAAGACAACAGATCCTTCAGTCCTGATGTGTCACTCCTGAGATGCTGCCTCTGGGGTATAGCAACAGTGTGGCGGATTTATGACCGCAGATTTTATGGCGGTAAAGACAAAAAGCCATGATGCAAATGCTTCCCATTGAAAGGTGGTGTGGTATCCTGCAGCCAGATGTTGAAGGGAATGGCTAGCAGGCAGGATGTTTGAAGGACAAAATTCAAGCTACTGATAAAACATGACCTCCAAATGTGTGTGGGGTGTGTGTGTGTGTGTGTGTGTGTGTATGTGTGTTTATGTCATGAAGAGTAGAACGAAAGGACACAGTTTATCTATTAGGAGACAAAAGTGACATTTAGAATTACACTTCTAAAAAATATTTGTAGTGAAGTCAATGTTTTAAATATCACCATAAGAAGAGATTTTATTCTCTCTCTCTCTCTCTCTCTCTCTCTCTCTCTCACATTTTTGCTTTGTGTTGTGTTATTGAGAAAGAATTGTACTTTGTAGCCCAGGCTGTCCTGGAACTCGCTGTGTAGCTCAGGCTAGCCTGGTGCTACAGTTCTGGAGTTCTAGGATCACAGATGAGAGCCACAATATCCAGCTCCATGTTCACGGTCTCTTGATCAGAAATCAACCTCAGTTCCCTAAACAAACAAGCAAGCACTTATTCCTTACTGTGCTAGACCCTCAGAGGTGGACTCCTGCCCCAAGGCCCACTGCACACCCTTTTCTGCCTATGGAAGTCCTTACTGAATCTGACTTGACTCTCACCCTTCTTCTCTTTCTTGTCTCCAGGACAAAAGGCGAAAGTATGGCATGCTGCATGCTCAGGAATCCAACAGCTCTGTCTTCTACCACTCTCAGGAGGAGGGCCATAGCCCAGGCAATGCAAACTGTGCCAAGAACTTCAACCCAGGGCATACCAAAGATGCCTGTCCATGTGATGGAGACTCCCTCGCCCATCATGGTTGGTCTTCTGCTTCCTGTTGTGTTCCCTTGTCCATGGAGGCCATAACGATTGTTACTTTATGTTGAGCATTTACCATGCACTAAGCACTTGATAGAAACCATCTCTGGGACCAGTTAGCAGCTGTGGGTGTGGATATGATGATGTGTGCTGTACAGAGAAGACAAAGACTGTAGAACCTCAGCAATTAGCTAAGTTCTTGAACGTTAAAGAGTTGGCCAACATAGACCTATCTGCTTTTGTAGAGTTTGATGCCATTCTCAAAGGGCATTTGCTGGTTCTTTGACAAGAAGCACAGTGAGTGTGTGGGGGAGGGGTTAGGACAGCTCCCACCTGGTACCTGCCTTCTAAGAGCCCCCTTTAGACCCTAACTCTGATAAGGCAGAAGAACAGAGACCACAACAGGGAACCCGGGAGAGAAAAGCATATCAGCTCAAGATCATAGATGACTGAGGACAGTCTAAGGACTGTGGGAAGGGAGAGGAAGTTCCTGGTAGCAGAAGCAGCCTTGTAAAGCTGTGGAGGCATGGCACACAGAGAGCTTCTGTCACTGGCTACTCATCCAGTTCTGGTTCCCTCTGACCACACCACACCACAACTCTAAAAGGGGCTGGGGAGATGGCTCCGTGGGTAAAATGCTTGTTGGGAAAGCATAAGGATCTGATTTTGGATCCCTAGTACCCACCAGTGCTGAGAGACAGGGACAGGAGGATGCCATGGGCCTGCTGGTCAAGCTGATCTAGCTTATGAGTGAGCTCCAGTTAGTGAGAGCTACTGCCTCGCTTCGGCAGCCTTGTATACTAAAATCAGAAGGACGAGGAAGAGATTGGCATGGCCCCTGCATAAAGATGACAGGCAAATCCATGCAGCATTTCATAGCGTTGAATAAATTCAACATGAGATAAAGCAGACAGACAGATAGATAAGATTGGGGCTGGAGAAATGGCTCAGTGAATCAAGAGCTTACCACACAAGCAAGAGGACCAGAGTTTGCATCCCCAGAACCAATTTAAAATTAGTTGAGAGGAAAACAATTGAGGAAGATTCCCGACTTCAACTTTGGGTCCTACCTGTGCGCGCACACGCACACACACACACACACACACACACACACACGGTGGGGAGGACAGAAGGAACAGTTGCTGGGAAGATAGAACAGGGCCAGACCTGGCAAGGCTTTGGATGCTAAATGAGGCACTTTGCACATTTTTCTGTAAGAAAGGAGTCTCAAAACAGGAAGGAAGCATGTAGGGTCCCGTTCTTTCCCCCACTACTCTCAACCCTGATAGTTCCCCTCTCACTACCCTTACCCAGGTCTGGATGTCTCCCAGCGACGGAGAGCATACAGCACTAACCAGATCTCCAGGCACAAGGCTTGCCCACGAGCCATCACAGCCAGCGACCCAACTGGGACCACCAGGAGATACCCACTGCGAAAAGCTAAGGTGCTGCAAGAACTTGACAATCAGAACAGCTCGGAGAGCCAGTGTTGGCAGATTGATCTGCAGGTACCTAAGCAGGTTAGGGTGGGAGGTGCTGGGAGGAGCTTGGCTGGGCTATGCTCACACACAACAAACAAGGATCGGGACACCAAGTATCAGGGAGGATGCAGAGTCCAGATCCAGCTGGTGATGAACAAACATCCAGCCTCCTAACAATGTTAGTTTTCATTTGAAGCATATCTTTTGATGATCCCTCAGACCGGCTGGTCACTGGCTTAGTAAGACATCCCTCTATCCTTAGCTGGACTTTCATCTGTCAACTCCTAATGATGCCTTCCTCATCAGCAGCTCACTGCTCAGTGAGCTAGCCCAGCCCCTGTACACAGCCCTTCCCTATCAGGCCAGGATACCAATGTAGAATCTTGTCATTAGACTTTATGGCCTCTGGGAGAGGAGGGGCATTGGAGAGCAGCCACCCTCACTTGTGGCAACTGAAGTTGATCAAAGAGGTAAGCTGGCTTACCCAGAACCACACGGCCAGTCTGTGGATTTGACCCAGGAAGCCCTTGCCCTCGGGGCCCTTGCTTTCTCTCCATGGCTGCTCCTTCCACAGCTTCTATGACAGTCACCCAAGGCCAATAGGAGACAGAGCCACCACAGGAAAGGTCCCCAGTGTCCTCCTAGGTCAGCCCGCCGTAACCTCAGCATTGTTGCTATCAAGGCTCCACCATGGGGATTGGTCCTGGGCTTGATAGAATGTCTCCAGGGTCAGGAGGTAAAACCACCCTGTGGAGGCCACTATGCTAAACCACTTCACAATGTAAACATTTTCTTCAGGACAGAAACGGTGTAAACTTGTCCTAAAAGTGTGGATCAAAGCAGCCTTTCCATGCTCTCCTGTGTGTCTGTCCACCTCCTCATCCCTCCCAATCTCCACATATATATGGGCCACATACCTCTTGGCCCCTGGGGGCTCTCCTCTGAGCTTTTCCAGGGACCCCTGATGTACTTAAGATATGTTAGTTAGTCTTGGAGTCAGGCAAACTCTTCCTCATACGTTTCTGAACCTCAACTGCCTCATCTACAAAATGGGAACAATTGTATGTACATAGGTGAGCCATAATCCACCAGCAGACTCTGAGGGGTTGCTGACTCCAGGTGGAGGAGGCATTCGTGGATGCAGGATGCAGTCCGAGTCCAGTGTCTGGCTGCAGGAGATGCTCTTCAATGGCAGCTCTATCCACTGAGCTCTCCTTTCTTCTCTCAAGCTTGTTCCTTAGCTCTTCCTTCCTTCTTGTTCTGTCTCCTCCTCATCTCCTGCCTGGCTTTCTCCCTCACTCTGTCTCTCTCCAGCTCTCCTCTCTCTCTCTCTCTCTCTCTCTCTCTCTCTCTGTGTGTGTGTGTGTGTGTGTGTGTGTGCGTGTGCGTGTGTGCGCGTGTGTGCATGCGTGTGTGTAGATTCCCCAGAGACTCTGGTTGGGTGAGAGGCTAGCATGTCAAGACCTCTGTTGCCATGGAAACTGTAGCAGAGTCCGTTTCTCTCTGACCCATTGTGGGTGATGGTGAGGTCAGTAGAGAACATCTCAGTCTCCCGTGCGTGGAGAGGCCAGAGAGTTGTAGCTGGGCATCTGCCTCCTCTGAGGCACCCTAAAAGTAGCCAGTCTCCTTTTCTTTCCATGCCCTGAACCATATACAGGTCCTTGGCCTAGAGACAGGAAAATACCCCTTTTATGAGGAGGCATAATACCCCCCCAAAAAAAATACGAATATATACTTAACAGTGTGAAAGGCCCCCAAGGTTTACTGGTATCTTCCAAAATTCCACTGCACCTTGTAAAAGGTTTTTTCCCCTCTCATCTCACTCCCTTACCAGAACATGTGTGCGGTCTAAGAAACTAGAAATTCATTTTATCTTAATATTCTTCCATCACAAAAGTAATACATGCTCAGCATTCGGAATTAAATCCTTCAAACAGTTCAGCTGGGTGTAAAGTACAAGTAAAGACTCCCTCTCCTACACCAACACCCACTTTCTTCTATGTCTTTCTAGAAATACCGTGTGCATACACGTATATACGGAACACATGCATATTTTAATAGCCGCTTATGCAAATTGCCCTCCAACTTACTGTCTTAATCCTTTTTTTAAAATAAATTTCGATCTCATCTGCTTCCTCTGTGTATGTTTGGGTGGTCGAGTGGGCACCCATGTGGGCAACTCCTGGGAGGCAGTTTTCTCCTTCCACCATGTGGGTCCAAGGAATCAAACTCAGGATGTCCCTCTTAATGCCTTTTGAATTCAGTTTTATACACACTAAAATCACTCTTTCTGATAAACAGTCCTGGGAGGCTGGCAATCACCAAGTGGTTCTTTTGCCATCACAGAGATCTATCACAATTTAAAATTTACAATAAATTTTTCTCAAATATCTTCCCACACTGGTATGAAGAATTCCTTCTTTTCAGTGTTTCGTAATACTCCATTACATGGATATACCATAACCTACTCACTCTCCCCTACTAATGGCGATGTCATTTCCAGGTCATTTTTTTAAAGCCAAGGGTCTCGCTGTATATCCCTGGCTGGCCTAGAACTTGGTGTATAGGCCAAGCAGGCTTCCAACTCACAGAGACCTGCTTCCCTTGCCTCCTAAGTACTGGTATGAAACACGTGACACCACACCTCACCCACCTCCCCAGTTTCCAGATTTTTACTCCGATTATCAGTACCGCAACAAATACTCACGGCTGCCACCTTTTACTCTGTGGCAAACACACACAGCTGACACACATAGACCCTTGTAACGCTGTGGTTCCCCAGGGTTGAATTTGTAAGAGTTGGATCACTGACCCAGCTCGTGGATTTCAACTGATGACAGACAGCCCATTGTCCCAGTCTGTACCACTGCCATTCCCGTTTACTGTCCATTAGAGACCCCGACACGTCAAGCATCTCATTGCGATATTTACCAACCTCGAATATGGAAAAATGTGACTTGTCTTAACTGCCATGGCTCTGGCCATTTCTGCTCAGCTTATTGCTATGTCTGATACAAACTGCTTGTGGGTGCATGGCTCCATTATTCTAACTTTGTCTATTCCCTCCGATTACATGCGAGAGAACTTTTTCTTTCCTTTTTAAGGTCAGAATAAGAATGATTGTTTATTGGGTACACCAGAAGAGGGCAAGTGGGCTGGGCAGTAAGAGGGGTGCCTCCTGCAGCTTCGGCCAATGGGCTATAGAGGGCAAGGGAATGGCATGCTTTTTTGTGCTTGAAGGGAGTTTCCCTGTGTTGGTTTCTGGGTGTGAAGTTTGTGTTGTGAGGAGGAGGAGGAGGGCAGTCCGGAGCGGCTGGTAAAGATCCTAGAGTCTTGGCGTGAGCTGCCACGGTAGAACTATGCAGCCATGCAGTCTCTGCTATGCAAAGCATGGTAGTCGTGGGTGGGTCACCTGGCACTGGGCTGCCGTTCTGGGGTGTCATTATCAGCCTGGCCTGGTGCTCCATGACAATCACTGAGCCCCATGCGGTGGAGGAACTCCTCCCGTGTGCATCCTCTGACCACACATGCTTGATGGCACTGCTTTACCCACAAACACACATAGAGAAACTAAAATGCATTTTTAAAAAAATGTGCTTTCACAGAAATCAGTGGTTGGGTGGGACTCAGGATTCTGAAATCCCAGGGAGCTCAAGCTATACCAAGAGCATTTTCTTTAAAAAACAAACAAACAAAACTCCAACATACATGTTGCAAGGGTATTTCCCATCTACCCCTTGGCTTTCAGATGCATGTTTATAACAAGCCGAGAACAGATAGATGAAATTATCAAAACAGACCAAAAAGCCCATAAACAAAGCCAAACACACATGCAAGCTCTGTAAGGATAGTGTAGCAAACTGATAGACCACAGAGAGCCCCCTGTATTCAGTAAACAGCACTGAGGTCTGTAGCATTTGGAAAAATCAAAGTTAAAGCTGGTTCCTCTCTCCTTACAGGAAAATAAATTGCATATGAATCAAAGACTTAAAAAACACAAACAAAAATAACAAAACTCTTCTGGAAGATTTTGGGGGGGTGGGAAAGGCCTTTTAAGCATACCATATGGGGAGACATAAGGGAAAGGGTTGGTAATTTTAACTACACACAAAGAAGGTTTTAAGCCGTGTGCCAAAAAAGAAAGTAGGTTTGGAATTATCCACGGTACATGGTTCTCTGTGCCTTGGAGTTGACCCATGGCCTGGGATTTTTCTGGTTACTGTTTCTCATGGGTGGCAGAGACTAAGTCATGAGTCCCTGGGTCCCTGAGGGACCTGTCCTGGGAAGACCTGTGCAGTCTGGAGACGGGTGGGAGGGGTGGGATGGGATGGGGTGGGGGCAGAAGAAGGAGGCTCTAGCCACCATGGGCTTCACCTCCTTCTCCTTCATTTCCCCCTCTTCCTCCTATTCCTCCTCCTCTTCCTAACTTCCTCTTTTTCCTCCTCCCTATTTCTTCCTCCTGTCATCCCTCCCTCCCTCCTCTCTTCTTGTCCTCCTCCCATTCCTCCTCATTCCCCCTTCCTCTTCCTCCCATCCTCTTCCTTCTCATCCCCCTTCTCATCCTCTCCTTCCTCCTCCCCCCATTCCTCCTCCTTCCTCTTCTTCATCCTTCCATCCTCATTGCCTCTTCCCTTCCTTGCCATCCCTCCTTCCCCCTCCTCTTGTACTCCTCTCTCTCCACCTGCTCCTGCTCCTCCTCCTGCATCCCCCCTCCTCCCTCACTTCCCCTGCTCTTTGCTTTCCTCCTTAGCCCTTACTCAACAGTGGCCATGACCTGAGGCAGGGCCCCAGGCTGCACGGCCCAGGGGCCCGCAGGCCCTCCCTACTGCCTCAGGGCTGCCAGCTCTTGATGCTGTCTGGCCAGAAGCCCCAGGCCTGTAGCTCTATGAAGGATCTGGATCCCTGTTCCAGCCCAAAGTCTGGCCCTGACAGCAGAAGCTCTGAGGACTTGGGTAAGTGCCCAAGGTCCAAGATCCCAGGGGACAGGAAGGCTATGGCCCAATTTCAGATGATGATAGGGACAGAGGACCATCACCTGCCTCTGTGTCTTTGTGAAACTCTTCCTCTGAGAACCTCTCTGGTCCCACCTCCCCCACTCAACCTGACTGTCTCAACCCATCTATCCAGCCCCTCAGAGATAAGCTCCTGGAAAGGTAGCTCTGTCCTCTCCGAGACAAGCCCAAACCACCTGTGCTTCACTAGGCCACTAGGAAGTAGCTGTCTTCTACTTCTTCAAGTGGGGCTAGCCTTTGTGTTTTCTAGAAACGACTGCCCCCAGGGGAGGGAGATGTTCTCTGTGGGTGGCTGCCTGTCTGGCCCTCGGGTTCAGCCTTCTTGTCCCTCCAAGCCATAGAGCCATCCCACCAACTCCCCACCTTCGAGACGGAAACATCCTCAGACTGGGACCCCATGGCTGAGTCAGAGGGGCAGGCAAGTCCCTGCAGGCCCGCCACTCCAGGCCCTGTGCTGGGCAAGGCTTTGGTCAAAGGTCTGTGCGACAACAAGCGCTTGCAGTGGGAGGTGAGCTTTGAGCTGGAGCCGCCAGCCCTGGAGAAGGGAGACATACAGGACGCCGACCTGTGGAATGAGACCTTCCACCACCTGGCAGCCCGCGCCATCATCCGGGACTTCGAACAGCTGGCAGTGCGTGAGGACGAAATAGAGCTGGGTGAGCAACCAGGATTCAGGGCGGTGGTGTTCCCTTTAGCAGCACGGCGCCGTTCCCACTGCTCAAGGCCACACCCCTTCCTTTCCAAAGTCCCGCCCACACCCCAAGGCCTGCCCTCTAGCATCCTGGTGCCCAACCTGCTCCCGGAGATACCCTCCCTAATCTTCGAAGTCCCACCCACACCCCAAAGCCCTCAAAGCCCTTGCTCTAACTGTCCCAGTAACCCTAGGTTAGCCACACCAACCAGCTCCACCCAGCGTTCCCTCCCACACCTGAGTATCTACCCCATTTCTCAGCAAAGCCTTGCCCATATCACAAGGTCCTCTCCCTAGCCTCCCAGTGCCCTATGTATGTCACCCCTCTTCACAGCACCTCCCAATGCCAAGCCCACTCTTCCCCATAACGAACGTTCATCCCTGCCCTTCGTAAAAGCCTCTCCCACAGCCCCAAAATCTACCCTCAAAGTAAAAGCTGGTTCCACCCCCTAGATCCACCCATTCTCTCGTGGAGGCCCCACCCCATGCCTTGCCCAAAGGGAAGGCTTCCATTCTGCTGAAGGCCCCACTATTAACCTTTTCTCCCCCATCTCCAACACTTAACCACCCTCCCACACCCCTGCATCCTCAACCTGTGGTCCCCTCCATCTCTCCCACTCTCCTGCACTCACCCCCGCCCCATGCTCCCTTATATCCAGCATGTCTCTGCAGGGTCCTGTGGTGGTTCTGGAGACCCAACAGTGGTAAGAGCTCCACTGAGGCGGAACTGTTCCCCCAGGGTCCCTAGTCCCAGCCCACATCCTGCATTCTCATCAGCCCCAATGACTTCAGACAGTCAGCTGGGGACCAGGCTGGAGGCCAGGCTAGGTGTTTGGCCCTGTAGATGCCTCCAAGAGTTAGTTGGCACAGGATAAAGCAAGCCAATCTTTTCCCAGGAGCACCTGACACTGCCTAAGAGAGGCCAGCATTAATCAAACAATTACACAGATAATTAATTAAGTCCTGTTCAGAAACACATGCATCCAAGCCACGTACAGCCGGGGGATGGGTCCTGAGCTAATTTAGTTCGGGAACTGGGGCAGTCTTTCCCCAGAACTTGACTCATGAAATCTCCATGGAACACGCTTGGAGAACAGAGATAAGGGCCAATAAGAATTACGTAATTTCTTTGTTCTAAGTTTATGCTTCATCTACATACTATGCAGTTTATATTTAATTTGTATTTTGGGGTAACGCATGATACTCTTTCTCCCCGTGAATACTCCCCTACTCCCTGGCTTCTTGAACATCCCTCAGAAGGCATCGAGCCATAAAGAGGGCCCACTATTTGACAGAAGGTCACATACTGTGTGGCCATGTACTCACTCCTTTTCTCTGGATTTCAGTCTCAGAGAGAGAGAGAGACAGAGACAGAGAGAGACAGAGGAAGAGAGGAGGGAGAGAGAGATTGTGTCTGTGCCTCTGTGTCTGTCTGTCTGTCATCTGTTTTGGGTAGGCAGTGGGGATTATGGAGGTGGGTGGGTGAATACAGACCCCAGAGGAGTATGCTGGGTGAGTCTCTCTATCATTCACCACTTTATTCCCTTCAGACAAGAGTCTTGCACCAAGCCTGATGCTTGGGACTTTTTGGCTAGGGTGGCTGGCCAGAAAGCCCCAGGGATCCTCCTGTCTCCTTGCCCTATCCCCAACCTCCACATCCTCTGCACTGGATTACAGATGGCCATGACTGCACCCAGCCTTTCACTTGTATGCTGGGAACACAAACTTCATGCTCCCTTAGCAAGCACTCTTGTCCACGGAGCCATCTGCCGGGCCACCGCTTTTCAATCTTCTCAGCAGAGCAGATCCCACCAGTCCGGGAACCCATAAAGCCCTGTAACAAGGTTCCCATTGGAAATCTGCGAAATTCAAATATAAAATACAGACAACACAGAACACCTTTTTAAATAACACAAGTTATTTAAAGGAATTAGTTACCTTTTCTTCTAAGATAATGACATAATTTTTTTTTACATTAAAATATCCTCTATCTTATGAAATGATAATGTTTGGCGGTTTTTGTTGTTTTGTTTTGTTTTTGTTGTCTTAATGTGTTTAATTGGTCCGTTGGCACGCCATTGATTTCAAGACCTATGTGATCCCCAAGACAGAGTCTGCTGGTCAAGCTTTCCTTCTAGCTTCCAGAGTCTCCACACAAGCAGGACTTCCTGATCCCAGACAGTGAGCCCTGGCTCTTCCTCCTACAGGCTCCAATCGTCGATACCAGGTGAACGCCGTGCACACCAGCAAGGCCTGCAATGTGATCAGCAAATACACAGCCTTCGTGCCCGTGGACATAAGCAAGCGGCGGTACCTGCCCACCGTGGTGAAGTACCCCAACTCTGGTAAGATGTGTGTGCGCGCGGGGCGGGGGGGGGGCGCCTCAGCCCTGCAGACAGGGGTGCGAGGTGGGTGATGCAAAAGCAGGAAAAAAAAATGGCTCCCAGCAGGTGGCTCAGCCGCTCAGGGGGAGAAGAGCAAAATGCCTTTACTGGATTTGGTCTTCCTCAGGAGGGACAATGAATGATGCAAGCTCCTTGTAGAGAGTCCCAAAGTGTCTAGAATGACACAGACTAGGTACAGATGGGTCAGAGTAACAGTCACCCAGGAAGGAGAGCTTGAACGGCCCTGCTGTGCCCGTCCTGATATCTCTTGATGGGTGTCTACGTGGAGGGGAATCAAGAGACACAGAAAAGGTTACCTCAGCTAGAACACACTGACACATACTCTGTTTTTTTCAAATTGTGGATGTGAAAAATCATCCATCCCTGAAGGAACGCTAAATGTTCTTTTTGATGATACAGCATATTCCACTGTGGGGATATCCCTTCACCCATCAGGCCCAGCCTGGTGGCACAGACCTGTCATCCTGGCTACTCAGAAGATGGAGGCAGAAAGGTTGCAGTTCCAGGGCTACCTGGGCTACACACACAGTTTTCAAGGCTAGCCTGGGCAACTAAGCAAGACCTTGTCTCAGAATAAGAAGTCAAAAAGAGAGCCAGGGATATAGTTCAATGGTTGCATGCTCACCCGGTGTGTGGGAGGCCCTGGGATCAATCCCTAAAGCTGACTTGTTCTTTTGTTTTCACACTCAATCCACATCCTTAAAGCATATTTTAGATTATCTAACCCTCGAAACAGTTCTGCAAAATAACTCCATTATGGCCCCATTAGTGACATGGCCTGAGGTCACACAGCAGGACTGGAGGAGCTAAGCTTTGAATGCCAACGGCCTGGTCCAAAGCCTGCATCCTCCCCCACTCCTCCATACTGTCTCTTTATATCTGCTGTGACCTGGGGTTGGCAAGATGGTCCACCAGGTAAAGGCACCTGCTGCCGAGCCTGGGGAGCTAAGTTTGACCCCTGGAAGCTGCTGGGTTTAGGAGAGAACCGACTCTTGCGGGTTGTTCTCTGACCTCCACGTGTGCCCAGTGGCAAGCTGTATGTGCAGCCGTATGTGTACGGTGCCTGTGTTCGTGTGTGTCATCTGTGACAGCCATGTGTATGTCTACGAGGTCTGTGGGTGTCTGAGTAGGATAGTGGTCCTCAGCCTTCCCAGTGCTGTGGCTCTTTAATACAGTTCCCACGTGGTGTGGTGAACCCAACCAGAAAAGCATTTTCCTTGCCACTTTGTAACTGTAATTTCACTAGCGTTATGAATCATAATGTATCTGATACACAAGGTATCTGATACGTGACTCCTGTGAAAGAATTATATGACCCCAAAGAGGTCACAACCCACAACTTGAGAACATGCCTTCCTTTACCCTTCCCATCCCATTTCCACATGCCATTTCCAGCTCAGACCAGAGACTGACTGTGACCTTGCTGTCATCTCGCTCCTGTTTCCGGGAAGCCTCTCTCTCTCTCTCTCTCTCTCTCTCTCTCTCTCTCTCTCTCTCACCATGTGGCTGCAAGGACCCAGGCCACTTTCTTACTCCAAATCCTAAAGCCCCTGCGGTCTAGTCCAGCCTTCCCCATATGTGTGCTAGGAAACAAATCCCACATTTCTTAGCCTGTAAATAGCTGTCTAGTGAAAAAAAGAAAGAAAATATCAAGGAGTGCATTCAAGGACCTTGGGTTAAGTGCAGCTGAACTCTTTCCCTGCTGCAGAAGGTCTCAGAGCCCTTAAAGTGCTGGTTCACATCGAGAGGCCAGGAGAATGGACTGTGGGCTACAGCTTTTCCAAGTGCCTTCCCAGTGAGACTGTTACTTTGTTTTCATTTGTGTATTTGTAGGTGTGTGACCACATGGGTGTGTGTGTGTGTGTGTGTGTGTGTGTGTGTGTGCATACATATGTGTGTGGCCACACACGGAGGCCAGAGGTCAATCTCAGGTGTTGTTGAGACAGCCTCAATGGCTGGAAGCTCAGCGGGTGGGCTAGCTGGCTGGCTGGACAGAGAGTCCCAGGCATCCCCCTGCCTCTGCCTCCCCAGCACTGGGATTAAAAGCACGTACCACCATACCAAGCTCTTTCTAAGGACTTGAGACTCAAACTCAAGTCCTTAGAGGCTTCACTGACCGAACCATCTGCCCAGCAACACAACTTTTATTTTTAAGGAATGAGCCATAGACTCGTGTCCCCTGAGAATGAGGCCCCCTAAACATACTTTGGGGAGTTGGCTTTACCTCTCCACCTGCTATTGGCAATGCCCGGGGCTTCAAGGACTTGTGTATGAGGAGGGGGCAGGGACATGGGACATTTCACAGTATGTCAGCAGTTATATTTACCTGGTAAGGCAAAGACTGTTAACTGTTATCCCCATTCTACAGAGAGGGAAACTGAGGCCCAGAGGGGTTCACATCTTAGTGAGGGATGGGACCAGAGCTCAAACTCAGATCATCAAACTCAGTTCATAGTGTTGTTATGCCAGGCTTGCCTCTCTTGGGTTAATTGAAAAACAGAAGGGACATCCCTTCATTGCTGACAGCATTGGGGAAAGGGCAGAAAGCAACAGGTTCACACCCACCTGATCCGTTGTCCTTCCTTGTCCTCCGCAAAGGTGGCATGCTACGAATGGTCAGCTTCCGGAACCTGACCCGACAGTGGAAGCGCTCCTCTGCAGGCTCTGCACGGTCCCAGGCCATGCTCAGAGAACACTCCTCAGCTGCAGGAGACAGCAAATTCCAGAGCCTGGGTAAGTGGCTCAGAAAGCCCAGGCACCCTGTGTCTGAGGCCTAAGGGGCCGACTCTCTGAGTCTGCAGTCTTAGACCCCTAAGCAAGGGGAGGGAAAGACCATGTCTCTCAGGTTCTGGTGGGGCACCAAAGGGGCTGGTATAACTCTTTTGTACAGAGGCAGGAAACAGAGAACAGGCAGGGCCTCTCTACCTGGCCTTCCTGCAAAGCATCCTCAGACGCCTTCCCTCCAGCCTCTGGCTTCTCCCAGACACCAAGTTCTGGGAACTGAATGAGCAAGAGAAAGTGATAACCAAGGAAGCCATCCCAGCTGCCTGGGTCCCACCATCTCCTGCTTTCTAGGTTCCCAGCAACCTCCCTTTCAGCCTTGACCTGATTGCCTGGTGCTTAGATAGCTGTGGCATGACCTTTGTGTGACCTTGAGCTGATTGACAGGCTGGCCGCTCTGCATCTTTCATCGCTGCCTGTCTTCCTGGCTCTCCAGATACCTGTTCTCATCCTAACCCCTTGAAACCCTCTGTACCCAATGGGGACATCCTGCTCTCCACTGAACCTGGGGAGGATGTCAGAGGCCACACCCTGATCCTCATCAGCCACCCACTCTGCATCCTCAGAGGAGAGACTGAGTAAAAGAAAGAGGAGAGGAAAGGATTCCCAGTGACACTCTTCAAAATTAAGAACAATCAATGTCTTGGTCTCTTTGTATTGTGGGACCTGCAGAGCCCAGTCATTGAGCTTCGGGGAAAGTTCCAGTCCAGCTGTTCCTTCTCTGCAGCAGCCCTTGGCAGGCTGTGGCTTCCATTTAAATTAAGAGCCCCTTTCTTCCCATCATGCTTTGTTCAAGGTCCACATCTTTAGCTCCACAGCTCTTCCTGTAGCTCTCCGCATACCTTACCAAAAGCTGCCAGGGCCCTTGCTGAGAGATCTCCTTGTGCTCAGCTTCCTCCTCACTACTCTGAACCCCTCACACACTTCCTAAGAGACTTTCTGCTCCTCGGCAAAGAAAGGAGGAAAGTGGACAACAGAGATGTTAAGCGACTCACCCAAGGTCACACAGCCAGTGTGTGATGGAATCAAGGCTTAGACTGAGTGTGTGGCTGTGAACTGCGAGGTTAAGTGATGCTGTGCTTACTTCCTGGTTGCTCAGCCATTTAGTCCCTCTGTCTCTAGTTCGTCCTCATTCTGAGTGCTGCGGCAATGAGCCCTGTCTCCTTTGGGGAGAGAGAAGCTTTGCTGAATGTGTCTGTGCTTGAGCCTCTTTTCTGTAATTTAGATCCTCCCTTACGTCAGATTGTCCCCCAGGCTACTTCTAGATATCAGTCCCAATAATCATCGTGGTGTGGCATCGCATTGGTTATACCTTTGTACTGTGATAACATACCCCAAGAATAACAACTTAGAGAGGAAAGGATTCATTTGTGCCTGATGGTTCCAGAGGGGGAATCCATCCTGGTGACGAGAGCAGGGGAAAGAGCAGGCAGGGCAGAGCATGGTGTCGAGAGCAGGAAGCTGGCTGCTCACATCTTCATCCACATACAGGAAGCAGAAAGAAAGAGAATAGGAAGTGGAGTGAGAATTTAAAGCCTCAAGGACCACCTCCACTGACATAGTTCCCCCAGTTAGACTTGACTCCTAAAGGTTCCAAATCTCCCCTAAACTGTCCTCCCAACTGGGGATCCATGATCCTATGGGGACACTTGCATTCAAACCACCAACAAGCACAGGTGTGGACCATGAATATCATGTCATGTTTTACAGACAGGGAAACTGAGGCCCAAAGCCTTCTAATGAGCTAGGGCTAGGGACTGGTGCCTGCTGAAAACCTGGAATGATCATCTCAGCAGGCACAGACCTGGGGAGGAGATGACTGCCACACCCAGACCCTGACTCCCATCCCAATGCACTCTCCTCATCTGCCCCAGATTTCCTGTGGGGTCTGTGGTTCGAGGTTTCACAAGAGTACTTGACAAATACCTGGTGAAGCGCTGAGCGTTAACTGACCCCTTCCAATGACTGTAAGACAGGTCTCTTTAGCTCCGATTTACAATGTAAACTGATAAAGTAACTTGGCCAAGGGCCCACCACCTAGTGAGTAGGGGTGTTCCCAGAATGGTAGGAAGAAGGGAAGGGTAGGGGTGCTCAGGCCCCACTGGCGTCCTCTGTTGCAGCCCTCAAGGAAAACTCTACTTCGACCTTCAGTAAAACCCTGTCCCCTGGCCGTGAGAAGCACACAGCTGCAGACGGTAAGCAGGCAGCTGGGGCTGACTCTCTTATTCTGATGGTGGAACATGAGGGATACCAGGGACAGGGAGATGTCTCCACACCAGCAGAGTGCCCAGACCTTCCTTCGCTGAGGCCTCAGAACAGTCAGCAAGAGGTGGAGAGGACTGTCCCCAAGTTTAAAGAGGAAGGAGGAGGCTTGAAAGAGGGAACAATTTTCCAAAGGCCACCTAGCAAGTTTGCTATAGAGTTGGGCCTAGAATTGGGGACCCCTGCTTCCATCACACCCACCATGCCACCCTCTAGCAGAGTCTGCCAACTAGCTGGAAAACAAAGTGGTTGGTGTGGAACTGTCACAGCCCTTCGGTCACCTCCCAGAAGTTGCCAGGGACTGCCTACAAGTGCCTAGGCTCACCTGCCCCTTACCTATGTCACCCTCACCCACTGTCCCTGTCCCTACCTATGTCTCTCTTGCCCCTTGTTTATCAATCAATTCACACTCTGGCACCATCTATTCAAAGTCAAGCTTCCATCCCACTCAAAACCTGTTCTTCCAGCTGGGAGGTGACTCAGTGGACAGGCCCCCTACCAAATCTCAGTATATCATTCTGTGGCTCTCCAGGTCCCCCTCACAACTTGTCCAGTAGTGCTCTGGCCTCCATGAAGACCTCCGAGGCTATGTTTGGATCCAAGTAAGTGGAATTTCCCCTGAGAACATGATGCTTTCTCTCCTTTTGCTGGTGTCAAAGGCATGGACAGCCTCACCTCAAGGATGCTAAAGGCCCTGTCACCTAGAGATAGCACAGTGTGCCAGGTCTCAAGCTGCCTAAATATCCCCCACCATTTCCAAGGTCTTTTTAAACATAAATACCCATGGAAAGGCCAATAAGTAGATACCTTTGTCTTTGTCTTTGTCCATCATGGCGGGGAAGGTGTAGTGGCAGAGGCGTGAGGCAGCTGGTCACATGGTATCCACAGTCAGGAAGCAGAGAGAGGTGGATGCCAGAGCTCAGCTCGCTTTCTCCTTTCAATTCAGTCCAGGACTCCAGTCCGTGGAATGGAGCTGCTCCCATCCAGGGTGGGTTGTCCCTCATCAATTAGCCCAGAGAGTTGTCTCTTCGTTGCTTCTAGATCCTGTCAAGTTGACACTGTGAACTGTCAAACTATCTTAGGAGTCTTTCCATCATTGGACTTGGAAGGGCATGGTGTCCATAGATAGCCATAGGGAAACACTGATCTGGCCGGTGCCCTGTTGTTGCTAACAGATTAGTTAGGGATGGCCACCTCCCCCTTTCTCCGAGCCTCAGTTTCCCTGGCTGTCAAGTGAGGAGGTTGGAGGAGACCGTCTGTTGGGTTCTTCTGGCCCTGCCTTTTGGTGGCTTCTGGGCAAGGCGCTAGAGGGCTGGGATGACCAGAGAACCTGTTTCTCTCTACACAGGTTGAGTCTCAACAAGTCCAAGCTACTGAGCCGAGCTGCCAAAGGCTTCTTCAGCAAATCGCTGGCCAAGGCTTCAGAGCCAATCCTGGGCAGCCAGAGCTCTGACTACCTACCACTGGTGAGCTCCAGAACTCAGAGCCCCTCCCACCCAGCTCAGCCCCTGTCCATGCCTTCTGGTGGTCACACAGAAGGAGCTCTTTTCTCAGAGTTCCTATCCAAAACACTCCTGAGCTTCCTAGACATCCCCACCAAGGAAGAGGGGTCAGGAGTCCCACCTTGGGGTGCAGGTATTAGCCAGTGCCACCATCAAGAAACTGCTCTGCTCTCTGCAATCCTTGCCTTGCATTTTCGTAGGACTTTTGCAACATCCTAAAACATCCACATGTCTGTTTTCAGTACATAAAAATAAGCCTTGAAATGACTCACAGCTTAAGTCAAAGTTGCATCCCAAGAACATGCCTTGGCTTCAAAAGTGGCTCTGTAGGGGGCCCAGCATACTACAGTGAGGAGAGAAGCCTCCACTTGCAGCCTGCAGCTCAGAGTCAATAACACAAGGCAGCCAGGTCTTGCTGCATCTGGGGGGTTCTTGAGCTTGGGGCTCACGGGTACATGAAACAGAGATGCGGTTTGGGAACATCACCTCATAGCTCCATCCCCACACACCCAGGGGCATGTTTGGGGTCATTTGGAATCCCTAGATAGCCAGGGCAGCGGAGCACTTACGTAATCACTTGCCAGCGTTAACCCAGTCGGGCTCACTGCAGACCCTGGGGAGATGACCTTGAACTAGATAACCCTAGTCCCTAGGATGAAGCCAGTGAAGGAACCTGGCAACTCCACCCCTTGGGAGCTGGGAGAGGACAGGTTTGCTTTGATAGTATGACCCCAAGGCCTGAGGTGGGGATGCTGACAGGATGGAATATGACTCCAAGAACTAAATCTTGAGGAGTCATGGCCAAAAGCCTAGAGGGGAGACAGGTTGGCATCTGGAGAATGGACCTGAGGGGTGAGAGTGCGGGAAACAGGGGGCCAATGGTGCAAGGCTTTATAAATCACACACTAGAGTTAGAAAACTGAGTAAATGGGAAATTGATCTGGGTGGGATTTCAGAGAATGTGCAATCCAGGCTTTGTGGCTGGAGGTCCCTTTGAGTACAAAACAGATAAACAGCCATGGGAGAGGGAAGAGGGGTGGGGCAGGTGTGAGGAGGACAGGCAGTGGACTGCCAAGCCTGTTAGGACTGGAGAGTGACCAGGATGCATGCAGGGACATGGGTGAGCAGAGCAGAGTCTGCTGAACATGCCTGAGCAATCCCAGTGGCCCAGGAGGGCCTGCACAGGGTATGAGTGCATTTGCCTTAGAGAGTGATTGGCCTGCAAAGCTGGAAGACAAAGTGAGGGCATGCCCAGTCGACTTGGGTATCCTGAAAATGCCCTAGACAGTCAGAGGGAGCAGAGGTTGACGAGCGCGCAGACATAGCGTATCTGGATTTTGTGTGGCCTGGCCCTCCATGGGCTTGAAGCTCACAGAGATGTTTCCCTGCCCGCAGTTGTCGCTACAGCTGGCCTCGGGAGCCTTTCTGCTCAACCAGGCCTTCTGCGAGGCCATCCAAATCCCCATGGAGAAACTCAAGTGGACTTCACCCTTCATCTGCCTCCGAATGTCCCCCACCACCCGCCGGCAAGGTTTGAAGAGTCCACAGCACTGCACCAGCTCATCCCCTCCCCCACCCTGTGACAACGTCTCCCTAGAGCCCGAAGCTGAAGGCAGCTCAGATCCGGAGCCAAATGCGATGTTGGAGTACACAGGAAAGCTGTGGGCCACTGTGGTGGCCCTGGCATGGCTGGAACACAGCTCAGCGAACTTCTTCATCGAATGGGAGCTGGTGGCTGCCAAGGCCAGCTCGTGGCTGGAGCAGCAGGAGGTGCCTGAGGGCCGCACGCCGAGCGCGCTCAAGGCCACGGCTCGCCAGCTGTTTGTGCTCCTTCGACACTGGGATGAGAACCTGGAATTCAATATGCTCTGTTACAACCCCGATTATGTGTAAGGGAGGGGGAGAGGGATGGGCTGTTTGCATTGATAGGGGAACTTTTTGAAAGCTGTATTCAATATAGTCTTGTTAGAAAGAGCCTTGGACTGGCAGTGGGTAGGCCTGAATTCAATCCCAACCTTGCTACCACCTACCAACTTTAGATCAGTGACTGCCCCATCAGGGCCTCAGTTTCCCCATCTACAAAACAAGAAGGTGAGATAGATTTTCAAATGGACCCAAACTTCCTTTCCATTCAGACCTTCAAGCAGCTGCAGGATTTGCTGCTGCTGGGGCATGGCAAGAGAAATTAACATACATGTGTGCACACAGAGAGAGAGAGAGAGAGAGAGAGAGAGGAGAGGAGAGAGGAGTTTCCCTGGAGAGCAATGTTGGCAAGCAATAGAGAGAGCAAAGTTCAAGTCCAGTAAAAAAAAAAAAAAAAAAAAAAAGGTGGTGGGGAGGAGTCCATAAGAAAACCTGTCAAAGACAAGCAACCAGGTCCAGAAGCTTCCTCCGGGTACTGAGAGACCTCCTCTGTCAGTTGCATTGTGGGGCAGACTTGAATCTTCCTGGTAATAGTCTGGGGGCTTTATCTCCCACTAGCAAGCCAAACAGGGAACCGTCCTTCCCAAGGCTTTGCAAGGGATTCCTCCTAGTAGCTGAGCACTGCACCCATGGTATGAAGTTTGGCTTCCTGTCTAAGAAGATGTAGGGAGGACCACCATGGGAGAAAGACTCCCTTCCAGCCTTGTAGCTGTGGCTTGCAGAACTAGTTTCTAGGATAGGCAAGCTCACCGGAGTCAGCGAAGAGACCAGACTTAAATAATTTACACAAGTGACTCCCTCCATTTGTACTGAGGGGCTAGAACAGCACCTCTGTGTGCATTGCATTCTGGGATAGTGGAGTCTCTTAGCAATGACCCACAGAGAGAAAACTTCTCTGTAGAAAAAAAAAAAAAAAAAAAAAAAAAAAAGGCTTGGCTGCATTGTGTCTGTAGATGGAAAGGAATAAAAGGATCTTGAAACTTCAAAGCAGGAACGGGGAGGGGGCATCCCCCAGTCCAGGAGCATCATGTGATACCCCTGGACTGGTGTCAGACTGTCTAGGCCTTAAGCCCTCCCCTCACCCTTGCCCAGAAGTGTGCCTGGGTCTCCCCAAGGACCCTAGACAAGCTGTGGACCCCATAAAACCCTTACTCCTAGGTCTTAGCTTCTGATGTTTGTCTCAAAAAGTAGTCACCAAGGCCCTAATAGGAAATCCTCCCAACATTTCCTTTCTGGTGAGACAAATCTTGATTAAACCAATCCACAAGGGTCTTATGGGCACTGAGCTAGGGCAGGGCCCCATAAAGATTCTAAGGGATATGCAGTCTATATTAGCAGCTAGAGTTGGGGGAGGGGATGCTTCCACAGAACACCTGCTAAGTGAAGGGAGGAGAGGCAGGCCCAACAGGATTTGGATGCTCTGCTCCTTGCCCTCATGCCCTGTCATGTCCAGGAACACTGCTGTACCTTCCCAAAGGGTCCCCTTTTGAAGAGGCAAAGTCTCTTCCCTACTTCACCGGTCTCTTGTGCTTTTAATTCACAGCCTGGGAAGAAACTGCCCCACAGGCCCTGAACTTAGATGGGGCAGAATAAAGTCTTGGGTATTGGCTTAATATCAGTGTCACCAAGAGGAACAGGGATGTAGATTGCCTCACCCAAGGTCCCAAGGAGATACGAGGAGAAAGTTAACTCCCCTGCTCCCTCAAAACTCCCACCACTTTCCTTACTTAGCAGCTCTAGCTTCCCCAGGACTGCATGGGTAGTGTCCACTGCCTGGTCATCGTGAGTGGAAAAATGGTCAGGCTGGGAGTCAGAAGGTGTGGACCTGGGTCTCAGTCTTGATGCTCCCTTGGACAGTGAGGGACTTCCCTTCTCTCGGCATTCTAGAGCTAGTGAGTTTCCTTCTGCTAACATTCCCCAGATTCCCTCTTGGTAAACAGGGATTTGCTCTCCTTCTGTGTGACTTTGAACATGTTGTGTGTGCGCCCCAGGCCCCTCTCTTCCTCTAGCAATGAGCAAGCCGAACTGTCTAGTGAGCCCATGAGCTTAATCCCAGAGCCTCAGGACCTGGAGAGGACGGTGGCCATGGCTCGGGGCAATGGAATTAGCACTATGAGATACCTAGAAAGATCTGCCCACGCACCAGCTGCCAGAGCTCAGCAGTGTGTTTGGTATATACAGAGATGCTGGTCCCTATAGCCCTGAACTCACCCTCCCAGCACCATAGTACCAAGAAACAAATCCCTTGGTTTTCATTAACCCAAGGACTGGCGAAGGAAGTTTCCGGACAAGACACGTTTGTAAAAACTGCTTCGGCGGTACTCAGATGACTTGTGCCTCAGTAACCCACTACCTGCCTCACCAAGTAGATGACCAAAGGGTTGGGCCTTAAGGAAAAGATAAGAGTCATAGAGAGTGGGTACATGCTGAGAGACCAGAGTGGCACAAAGATCTCAAAAGGTTACACTGTTGTCCCTGCAAGCTAGATGAACTTGAACTCATTTAGTTTGTTAAACCAGCTTTACTTTCAAGGTCATGTCAAAGGGACACCAAAGTCCTCACTGTGTGAAGAAACATCCACTGGGACTGTCCAGTCAGCCTCAACATGGCCTTCAGTGGTCAAAACATGGGCCAAGAATTGAGGAGCTATGGGTTGGTCCCAACGCAGCCGCCACTGGGCTGTGTGGCTTCTGGCAACTGGCTGTCTTCCTCCAAGGCCCTCTTTTATTTTTTTGTAGAATGCTAGGATTCTATGAAGTGTGTACTTCCAAACCTGTTGCTGACCCACAAGGAACTTCTGTGTGGCAAACATGCTGGAGAAACCCCCAGAAAACAGACTTAACAAAGCAGGTCAGGATGCTAATCGATTAATGGCACCACCAGTGCCCAAGGAGGTCACCCAGCATGTGGCTCTTCCAAAGACGCCTGGTTAAAAAAAATGCTGGTCTTTGGGCATTTCCCTAAGTTGCCACTAACATCTAAACAGCCTTTATGGAGTGTTTGCTGTATGGAAGGCATGTGAAGTGCCCCCGTGAGCACACTGGCTGCTGTCCCTGTCCCTTTAGAGTTTGGCAAGGGGTACTGGAAGAGCGTCCATGGCTCCCTCTGGCACTCAATGGTCCAGGGCTGGGTTTATCTTGACTGACCATTCTCCACCCCCATGGTCTTGCATGTGCGGGCATAGCCTGAGCCTAGCACTGTCTGAGCTTGGCTTACACTAATCTATAGATCTCCTGAGTGCTCAGAAATTCTTGATGGCGCGAGGACAGCTGGCCACAGTGATAGCCAGAGAGGAGTGCCACCATGCTTCCTGGTGGAACAAGGGAGTACCTGCAACAGGACGCCCTATGGGTCTACCTCCTGACACAGGCGGGCCCTGTCTCTTAAGGCCCAGCCCAGGGAAGCTCTGGAGCCCAGGGAAGCTTGGCCTCATTCAGTAAATTGGCCCACACTGCACTTGTAAATATGTGGCCTTGGTTTCCAATCCATCCTCTCCCTGCCTGAAGGCAAGTGAGTGCCCCCGTGACCTGAGCCAGCATGGTTATAGCTGATTGATGGAGTATCTGCTCCCAATACCAACTCTTGCCGATTTTCGTCTGTTCTCTGGAGGGGTGAAAAAGGCCCGCTGCCTTCCAGCTTGGTGCTTTAGCCAATAGAGGCTTCCGGGAGTTTCCTCTAAGTCCTGTCTGCACCCTATCTGAGAGACAAAATTCCTCTACTAACCACGGCCCCGCCCTCTCCCTTGGCAGGAACCCATAAGAGGAGATAGTGTGGAAAGGGCCAGCTCCATCTGGCCACAGTGGCCCTCCCCCAGAGAGTGGCTACTCCATTCTCCTGATTGGAATCTGCCTGACACCCCAGAACTTGTCATTTGGGGTTCTAAGTCGTGCCCCAGTTGTGACACTGTTACATCTCAGGGTAACCCAGGAAGAAGTGCATTCTATGTCCTAGTGTCCTGCAGCGGGGGGGGGGGGGGGGGGCATGGGGCATGTGTCCATTGCTACTAAGCAGAGGTTTGTTTGTTTGTTTGTTTGTTTGTTTGTTTGTTTGTTTGAATTCTTCCCTGACAGTGGCAGCGACAAAGAGGCACATTTTAACATGGTTCTCTCTACTGTGCCACTGAAAATAACTGGGGCACGGGCATGCATGGCATTGTGTGGCTGGGTGACCTGATCCACAAAGATCTGTCCCCAGGCCAGGGGCTCGGTAACCATGCCCAGCCAATTCTACAGTTCCCTGCTGGAGAGGGCCCTGACCCCTGTGTCCACCACTGACCTGGCCTGGTGACTCCGCCAGCCTCATCCCAGCACTGCCTCCCAGGTGACAATGCCCGTGTGAAGCTGCAGACTCTGGGCCAACTGTCCTGGGCTTACAGCCGCTTCTAAGGCAAAGCGCCTGTCTCCGTGCGTTCGTGTGGTGACCTGTGGGATAGCTTCAACTATTTGCTCAGGTGGCTTTGGCTTAAGCGGCATGGCTGGTGCTTGTCCCTGCCAGAGCCTCAAGTGCCTATGCTGTGCTGTATTTCCCCCCCCCCCCGCTCACCCCAGTGACCCCAAGTGCCTGGGACGCTTCCTGCTTCTTGCCTGGAGTAGCTGGTTACACTGATGTTGCAGAAGTCCTAGGGGCCAGCTGTCTGATTCCATCACTTAGCCATGCCTATGCTGGAACTGTGTGTGTGTGTGTCTATTTTCCAAGGAATGGCTTCTTTGCCATGGTGGCTCCTGTCCTCCTACAGGTTTTCGGCTCATAAAAACTGCCCATGTGACAAGATTATCCTTGTGTCTGCTGCTTTTGTTCTCAGATCCCAGACTAGCAAGACAGGGACACGTTCACCTTGTACCTTTCTTAGTGAGAGTTCCTCTGAAGGTGACCAATGGTCTTGGTTTGCCAGGGACTGAAAGGTCACCAGGGTATTTTAAAACTGAGACAGTTGTGGTCAAATAGGGAAAAGTTGGTCACCTTTGGCAACCCGGAAGGACATTTCCAACTGAGACTTTCTAACTTACAAAGGATAGGATACCCTATTTTTCTGTACGTTTGACATAGTTTGAAATTAGGATTCTGAACTCTGATTTTTTTTTTTTTTTTTGGTAAGTGAAACAAGAAAAGAAAGGTAGGTGTGAGGAGAAGGGAGTCAGGCCAGACACACAGAGGTAAAACTCGGGGCTCGGCTTTGTCAAGGCACCGCCAACACATACCGCTTATTTCCCCTGGCCGTCTTCCCACACCCACGTTTAATTATGCTTATTCAACAGGTTGCAAGCTACCACACTTGACCCCCAAAACAAGCATAAGACTCACTTGGACATCACAAAGCAACCCTCCTTCCCCCCCCCAAATTAGTCACCCCCACAGTGGTCAGTATTGATCGTCAGCAGGACAGATCCTGGAACCACCCAGGATATTCATCTCTGGGCATGAGGAGATTTCTAGATTGGCTTAACTAAATTATGGAGACTTGCCTTCACTTGAGATGGGACACTTCATGGACGGAGGCTCCAGACTGCACGAAAAAGGCAGCAGATAAGCTAAGTGCCAACTTCCATCACTACCTGCTTCCTGGCTACAGATGTAATGTGACCTGCTGACAGCTGCCCCAGCCATGACCAACTGTATCCCCTTGAACTGTAAGCCAAAAAAAAAAAAAAAAAAAAAGACACCCCCCCCGTTGCTTCTTGTCAGGTATTTTGGTCACAGCACAGTATAAGCCCTTTTCGGATTGCAGGGGAAATGGTTGAATAAAATAGGAATCCCCCCCCCAGTCCCACAATATTGCTCTAAAGCATTCCCAGGTCCCGTAGATGTAGCGTGGGAGGGCAGCAGGCTGAGCTAAAGCACTCAACGACACCCTGCTGGCCTGCAGAGAACTAGCTTTCAGTGCAACCAGCAAGCCCTGTCACTGTCCCATCTCCACTCCAGGCCCCTGTGACACCATCTCTGCCTTCGGGGAGAACTTGGTACTTCATTCTATTGACCCTCCTCTAAAGGTCAGGACCAGGATGGCAGTAAGAACCTCCCAGCCCCTCACATTTGGAAGGACGTGCGGATGGATAGCAGGGACTCCTGGGCTGACTCCAGCATCTCTGTAAGACAGGAACTGACCACACCCAGGACTCTGGCATGCTGCATTCTCTCCTGTGCCCTGCAGGGCACTGCTGCCCTTGTCACTCCATAGCCTGAGCTCCCCTAAGCTCTCAGTTCACCCGCACCCTGCTCTGCCATGTGGACTCTGTCAAATGCCATCATTCTGGAAGCCCCAGCTGCGCTTACTCTCCCAGTGTGACCCTCTCCTGGGAGCACCCAGCCCACCCACACCCAAAATCCAGCTGCCCTAGATCTAGGGCCTTGGAAGGAGAAAGTCCACGAATCCTCTATTGCACAATGAACCCTGAGTCATCTCAGCGACACGTGATGCAAAAGGTCCTTTCCTAGCCCAGCTACCTAGGATGTCCAGACCCTGCCTTAAAAGTCAGCTCAGGCAGCAGTAGAGAGGCTGTTTGCTACAGCTTTCTCAGCTGTCAGAATAAACTGGTCCCAGAACATCCTCAGGCCTTCCATAGGACAGATACATGCGTTTCCCAGGCGCTGGCACATTCCCTGTGTAGCCGGCATGGGTGGCTTTAGAACCTGGGGCTACACCACAAGAAAGTAGGGGCCTGTTTCTCAGGCCGCGTCTGTATTCAAGTTGGCGGTGCGATCCCGACATCCAGCAGCAGAGGGCGCTGTGGGTGTGCACTGCCTTCCCAGACCAGGACTGCCTAGAGCCTGGCTGTGGGAACCGAGGAGCAAGCAGGATGCAGACCTGCAACCAAGCTGTTCCTGCCAACAGCCTTTCTTCTCTGCTAAATAAATAAATAAATAAATAAATAAATAAATAAATAAATAAATAAATAAATAAATAAATAAATAAATAAATAAATAAATAAATAAATAAATAAATAAATAAATAAATAAATAAATAAATAAATAGATAAATAAATAAATAAATAAATAAGTAAATAAATAAATAAATAGATAGATAGATAGATAGATAGATAAATAAATAAATAAATAGATAAATAAATAAATAGATAAATAAATAAATAGATAGATAAATAAATAAATAAATAAATAATAAATAAATAAGTAAGTAAGTAAGTAAGTAAATAAATAAATAAATAAATAGATGAATGAATGAATGAATGAATAAATAAATAAATAAATAAATAAATAAATGAATGAATGAATGAATGAATGAATGAATGAATAAATAAATAAATAAAATAATAAAATAAAATAGCATCTTGTAGCAGCCCAGAAGCCCCCTGACAGGCGGTATGTAACAGCTGTGTGTTCAGACTCCAGGCCGGCTCACCTGTGCCCGGAAAGGACAAAGTGACTACGTGGTCCTGGCCTTCTCGGCCCACTCCTCCTCCTCACCTCACCACTCCCTGCAAGCTTACACAATGCTTTTTTCTTTCGGGCAAGCTTCCCAGACCTCCTCTCAATCGTAACTTCGTGTTTTTCGGGGGGTGGAGTAGGGGTGGTCCGTCTCCTCCATCAGACTGGGAGTGCCCAGCTGTGTGTGTTCAGAGAGCCACCTCCGGACAGGTGGGCGGTGTACCAAGCCTGTCCCCATCGGGCGGGAGGCATTCCGAGAGCAGGGCTTTCATGTCCCCCATCAGACAGGGAGTTTCTCAAATCGAGCTTCCTGCCCCCTCCGTTGAACAGCTCCCCAGGCACCTGCTCAAGCACTGTCTTTGGGCAGTGGTCAGCCTCTCTGTCACCCACTCAAGAAGGGATCTGAAATGACCCAAGTCTCATGAGCTTTGCGCACATTTAGACTTAGAAAATATCACCAAATTCGGGGGAGAAAAGGGAAGGGCAGAGTGGAGACCTTGACTCTTATATGCCCCTCTTCACTCTTCTCTGGCAGACGTCCTCCATCCAGACTGTCCCCTCACACTCTGCTCACACCCCGGCCCTCCCATGCTGCCTGTTCTGGCCTGCAGATGGTGATTTTGCATCCAGGCTCCACACTGCAACCAGGGAAACCTCAAACGCCCTCTCTGTCTCCTACTGCCTCAGTGGGGGCGGGGAGTCCAAACTCAGCCTCACATGCAAGCTCTCTCTAACATAGACTGGGGAGGGGTGGGTCTCGATTTTTTTTTTTTGTCACTTCTTACGTGTCGTATCAAGAGCCACTCCCTCCCTCTACAAGCCACATTACATACTAAAACCCCAGGGTCCATGGTAGACTTTGAGATACAGCTGGAGGCGGGAACAAAGTCCCTGGCTGCATTGCTATGTGAGGCTGCCACGGTAAGGGACCCCACATGAGAGTTTATCACAGGCAGCTACTGTCCTACAGCTCTGGGGACCCCTGAGTCCAAGACCACAACTTCGTTCTTCACCCGGTAGCCTCCCTGGCAGCTTCCGGCTCCAGCAGTGCTCTCTTACAAAGACACTGAGTCGGGGCCCGTCCAGATGACTTCACTTACCTAAAGTGCCCCCTTTTTAAATGCATTATTATTGTTGTTGTTGTTGTTAGTGGGGGGGGGGGCGTATGTGTTTGTGTGTGTGTCTTTTTCCCACTCAGTTTTCTTGCTGTCCCTAAAACACCTCTCTAAAGACCCTGTCTCACGGTTGAGGATGTCGCCCAGTGGTTAAAGTACTTCTTCTACAAACAAGAGAACCAGAGTTTGGGTCCCCAGAACCCATGCGAGTGCTGAGTGGACATAGTGGCCCTCCCTCCAGCCTCAGAGTGTGGAGACAGAGGGTTCCCAGAGCCACCTGGCTAGCAAGATTAACAGGAACAATCAGATTGGGTTTGACTAAGACAAACTGTCTCAGTGAGCAAGGCGGGAGAGCAATTGAGGGTGATTCCTGACATCAATCTTGGACTTCTACATGCACATATAGACCCATACACATGCTAACATCCATAATATACATGCATACATACCACATACATG